CTGCATTAGCAAAAATGGAATAACACGCTTTAAATCAGGTGAATTATAAATAAGTCCACATATGATTAAAGATTTAAGGCACTACAAACCCACAGTCATGTATAAATGAGAAATGCTGATGCAATCAAGCTAAAAAAGGAGGTAACCTTAATTGATTGGTAAATAAATAAGAGAAATGATTTTTCAATAGTAATTGAATTCTATAGAGGATATTTTTTCCTATCTATAAAATATGTGTATTTGAATACAGACTTGGAAGGCTGTACGGATGCCTATAATTGCTTACATTCACTTCATTTGAACTTTGGTGGATAGTTGTCTCATTGGCAATCATACCACATCTCCTTATTTTTATATTGGTAAGCATAAGACAGGAATAACTTACCAATAATCACCTGTCAGATAATCTCCCATAAAGGATATTTTGTTCATTCCAAGTCCCAGATGAATTAGTAATGGTGGTCTGACGCACAGGGCTGACAAATCGCTGATTTGATTTGCACATAATTCTAGTACCTAAGATGAACAAAAAAAAATCATAGAAATAATTAAGGTTACTTTTAACAAATTTGACACTTAAACCAATTTCTTTTTATTTATTGACAATTTTTATAAAATCACAAAAAAATATAATTTCACCTCCAATTTTGCTACACTAAGATTAAAACTTTCTTTTAAAAATGTATCTTAAACCAATATTTCATAGAAATTTTGAAAATACATGAAAGCCTGATATTTGCCATAAATTATAAGTTACCTTTTATACAAATAAGGAGGAAGGCACAAATCAAAAGTGATTAAAGGGGAGCTAAATCAATATTATTCATTTTAGGTATTTGGACCATATTCTAAAAAGGCCACAATTTTCACTCAAAGAAAACATGATAAATGGCAAAAATCTGAAAAAAACATGGAAACAGTATTCATGTGAGAAATTTGTGTAGCAGATTTTAACATATTTATGACTTATTCACCTGTAATGTAAAAAAAATTTAATTTAATAACTTGATGACTTGATGGTTCTAATTTTTTTAATCAACCATCGTAGTAGTAAAATATTTCTTTTTTTTTCAATCAGAAATATTATACCTTCAAGCTTTGATTGTGTAAAGGATGATAGGCACTTAACAACATATATGATAGAAATTTCTTAAATTTGATTGAAAAATGGATAAATGGTGATACAGTCAAAATTTAATTAGAAAAAGATAAAGAGGTTGCTATTCTTTCTTGATGAAAGTTTTAAGTGTTAATTGTTATGAGTTTGTTTACTTACTCGTAAAGACAGAGGAAGATTTTTGGTGTTTACTGTTACAAGCTTGTTGGCACTTAAGGTCAGTTCTTCTAAATTTCTAAACTTTAATAGTTCTTTGTCTACTTCTGCAACCTAGAAAATAAATAAACAAAAATTAACACAAAATTAGACACACAAAATCCAATACAATATCACCTTCAAGAGAAGCCCAGGGTATAGAAATTTAATCCAGTTTCTCTAACCAAGGTTAAGGGGTCCCATAGTTGTGTGATATGTCATATCCAGTAAAAAATATGTAACTTGTTAATAAAAGATGATTTCCAGTGAACAAAATTCAATTAAAAGTAAGAAACATAATTCATTTTTTCCCACTTTGGTCAAATTTCACATCGAAACACACCTTTGTGACCAAAATAATTTGCAGAATTTATTAAAACATCAAAATCAAGTATCCATGAAATAAGATTTTTCCAAAAAATGAAAATAAATGAATTCATAGTTTTACATAATATTTTAAATAAAACAAAAATATGTTGTAAATGAGACAGCAACCCATCAACACAAAAACAAAAAAGTTTACATTGAGCTAAAAAAAATGAATTATAATCTTTACAGCAAACACACAGAACCTGTGGTCTTGTTCTAACTTACTTGTTTATCTACAATTCTTAAAGTCTTAAAATGACTAAGTATAAAATTATCATCTATTAGCCATGGTGATTTGACAGCAATTTCTCTCAACTGCTTTGCTTCCTCACTCCAGCTGTAATCCAAATTCCATGGTGATAGCTTTGATCCAACATATTCTTGTAACGTTTCAGTCTTTTCATGTTCAGCCCCAAAATCTATAAATGTAAAATAAAATATGAAAAATATGGAAAAATGCTGAATAACTGAGTCATAATTGCCCCTTTGAGTGCTCTTTCGTTTACGATGACAATCAAAGGATTCTTTTCCAGGCTTGCAGTCTTCACACCTAAATTTTCAAAGCATAAGCCAGGGATCTGTTCATTCTGAAATCCTCAGGCCCAAATGGAATTTTATAGGCCCAAATTCTGAACAGTCAGCTGGAGTAAATAAATGTACTGAAAAAACTGACCATATCATTTACATTGGTGGCAGTTCGTTTACACTAAAGGCTGGTACACTCCCTTGAAACATAATAATATCTGGGTCAAAAAGACAAAGGACAGGGGACAAGTCTAATTTACACTACAGCTCAGGTGTGTATTTTATCATATCCACCTCCCCAACTTGTCAATATAGTTAAGGAGAAGTGTTATGATTGCCAATGGGACAACTATACACCAGAGACCAAAGGACGAGGATGTATAGAAAGCCCATTCAGAATAAAAATAGGGCTGTAAAAATTTTGAATATAAAAGCTTAAATAATTCTTTAATAGGTATTTTATGTTTAAGTCTAACATTTATGATGAAAGAAAATTGCATGTCCCCTCCAAGGATTAGTGCAGGTGACCATCTTAAAAGTTTTGTCAACTCTCTTCTGATTCCCACCATGGATTGATGGAAATTAGAAAATTCACCTCAGACCAAAAACAAATATATGCCTATTTTCTGTCTCCTGACCAACCCTAAGTTTAATTTCCGACCCGAAAACATCTTATTGCCTTTCCAAAAAATAATTCAAGAAAAAGCGTAATATGAGTCATTGACTACAAATCCTATTTCCACTGTACTATCGATTTAAATTTGTAAGAAGGTTGACGAATATTGAATGTAAAACTTGTCAACATTGAAAATTATAAACGTAACAACATGCATGCGCAAAGTATGTGCATAAGTATAAAACAGGATATCTATCTGAGAAAACATGCTGGTTTTCAAGATTTTGTTAATATGCAAAAAAAAGTAGAATCCTGATGAACTGACCCGTTTCTTTTATAATGTTTGGAGGCAGGAAACAGACATTTATTTTTTATTTTGCCTCAGATGTAGAGTTAGGAAATATAAATACCTTTGAGTGTTATGGAATATTTGCTTTCAACATCGTCTTTTGTTTTTAGTTTTTTAAGATTTTTAGTCTTTGTTTCTCTCTGAAAAAGAACAAAAATAGCATTAGAACATCAATATTAAACCTGATAAAATTAAAAGATGTTATTGTGGATGAATAAAATATATGCGTTCAAAAATAACAACAAACCCTAAAAAACAATCTGTCTTCAATAAAAGAAACCTGTCCACCCAGAGTCCCTTAAAAATCAATTGCGATTGAATTCAATATACAAATCTGTCACTAGCTGACATCAAAGTCTAAACTGGTCAAATATAGTATACAATGACATTTATGAAATCTGGGGACATTGACAAAAATGTGTCAGGACTGAACTGATCTGTGATTCCTCAACTCTCCCACTTTTATATCTTGGTCAGCAGAATTACAAAAGTTACAAAAAACATCACTTCAGAAAAATTTTAGCCCTAGGTCAAAATATGTGGACATGTGTATTCCAAACTGGCAAAATTCAATGACAAGGAAAACAATATTAAAAAGTATTGTATCAATGAATACAAACTAAGTTCTGAAAGGTTTAAATGTCAATGAGCTTTTTATCTAATTGCATCACCAAAAGTGACTTATCATAAGTGGAGCAGGAGCTGCCTACCCTTCAAGAGAACCTTAGTTATCCCTAGTTTTGTTCAAAATATATTTGTGTTGCCTTTTATTTCTTAATGTTAGTCATTAGTGCTATATTTTGATTTGGAAATTTTTCTTTTTCTTTTAAACTATCACATTCAGTAAAGTGTATCTTATTAAGGGTTACAGAACTTGCAATGAGCATGCACTGATCGTTTATGAATTTGGCGAATCCAAGGATTAGACAAGAGACTATAATCAATAAATATGAGGCAGGTGCTAAGTAATGAGATCCAGAAGATTATTGGTGAATTCTTATTAATATTGTTTTATTTAACATCACACTTTTAGGCAATCAGATACAAATTAGTGCAAGCATTAGGAGGAAATCATGTGCTCCTTTATGTTTTATCTCAGCCATGTTATTTAAGGACTTTATACATCATTGCGGTTTTGACCCAAATGGGCCTTTCCTCCATTAGTGTTCCCTTTAGGAGCAAATCACTAGAGAAGCAGAAAAAAACAACCCTTCTACAGTATCTGAGTTTGGATGTGCTCGCCTTACTCAACCTACAGTTTTCTGTGTTATGTTTTGCTGACTGCTTGTCTTTCTTAAGTATTTATTTTGGACATAGTGCTGCCTGGTTTTTTTTTTTTGTCTTATGGTTTATGATTGCCCTTGGTATCTCTACTTCTCTCTTTTTGAAACCATATAATATCATATAGAGTTAAAAAATGCATTTAAACATTGTTCCTACCCAAGATCCACCTCCACACGGAAATTCTTTCAAACACAACGTTCTCAGTTGTGTTTCAAATGCATAAAATGCACGGTTTGGCTCTACAGTTGTCATTTTTACATATATAAAATCTCAAAATGTGGAAAACTTTTGGATGGCAACCAGAACGTCCATTTTGACGCCAAGTGCTACTTCCGCTGCTAGGGAAATATAAATAACAGAATCGTTAAAAAAACGAATTTAAATAGGGTTAAACAATATATTTGTGTCTTCTTTTAGAATACACCATTCATATATATTATCATCAAAAAGAATAAAAATAAACCAATTAATACAATTTACTGCATATTACTTGTAATAAAAGTAGTTTTGTTTTGTAAGTATTTTATCTTGGTCCGAAATATCTAAAAACAAAATGTCTGCGCCCATAAGATTTGGAAATTTTTCACCATTCCCGACTGTTTCTGCACATTTTTAGCGTTTAATTGATCAGATGAAATAAATTAAATGGGAAAATCGAGTAATAGATCACGGTCGAGGTCACCGTTGCATTCAAAGAAAAGAAAATCAAGATCTAAGTCCAGAAACAAAAAGAAACGTAGACATAGTTCATCAAGTTCAGATTCGTCCAGTTCATCAAGCTCGAGTTCGAATTCCCAAAGTTCTAGTTCATCAAGGAGAAGGACATCAAAAGATTCTAAAAAACATAAAAGAAAGAAGAAACATAAATCTAAGCATAGGTGAGAATCTAGTATTACGGTCTCATTTACCAGCACTGCCACAGGCACAGCACTCATTTTATTCTTCTTCTTCTTTCTTTACTGTGCCAGGCTCCTCTGGAGCATTATCACACAAATAAATATGTACTGTTAAAATTGGAGTTGTGTGGGACAGGTTAAAAGGTTGAACCACACCAACAAACGATTACCACTGAACAATGAGCTTACATGTATATGAAGCTGGTGTTACCTGTGAAAGAGAATAAAATCCATATCATTTTCTTGATACTTTTTGGTAATTAGACATATTGATAACCAGGAAATTGAATGCCTTACAACCCTGCAGCCTCCGTCAACAGATATTAAATGAGCAAAGAGCAATTTATTTTTTTTTTATTTGTTTACATAACCATCAGTCAGGGGTACTACTTCAAGTAATTTTTATTTACTTGAAGAAGTAAATATTAATATACTTATATAAGTAAATTTGTAGGATACTTATACAAGTGTATTTTATTTACTAGTAGTAGTATAGATAAATAATTTTTTGGCTTAGTTATGTCCCTTAGACATTCAGATTTTTTTTACTTATACAAGTATAAAAGTCATCCTATCTTCTTTTCTTGAATTCTTAGGACTTCTTTGCTCTAATAAAATTTTTAGTTGTCTGTCCTTTGCAGATGTCTTTACTAATCATTTAAGTGTAATTTCATGGACAATGAAAATCTCATTTGTCTGTTATCTTCAGAACACTGCTCATTTACAAGCCCCAATGGGGCAATTTTTGAAGGCCTTGCGCAAATACTTAAGATCTTTGTGCAATCAGTTTCTTTGTTGAATTAATGGGATGAAACATTGAACTCTAATAAAAAATTATGAGCTAACCTGAGAAAAATTGTTAAAGGCATGTTTTTACATCTCAAAACTTGAGAATACTTGTGGGATTGTAAAAAAAAATTACTTATACAAGTAAATTTTTGAGAAAATTAAGGGGAGATTATTCAAACATTATAATTAACTTATATAAGTATATTTGATTTACTTCTTCAAGTAAATAAAGATTACTTGTACAAGTAGTACCCCTGACTGACCATGATTTACTGAAAATACTGATGATGTTAAATAATGTATATGCAACTACACAAATCTTTAAGCAATTAACTTAATATTATGACAACAAATTTTATTTCTTCAAGGTCATCTTCAAGCAGTTCTGCAAGTGCCTCTAGGGAAAGAAAAAAATCTAAAAAGAAAAAGAAGAAACGAAAAAAGAAAAAGTCTTCCAAAGATAAAGCAGAGCCACAACTAGAATTAGAAAAACTTATTAAAAATGAAGATGTGAAGCTGAAAAGCAAGGAAAAAGAAACAAAAAATGGTATGAGATAAACATTAAAATAGTTACATGTAGACCAATACATGTAATGATGTATAAGTGAAAATACATATCATCCATTGAAAGATTCCTACAGATAAATGATTTTCCTTGCATATAAGTCTATTTTGAATAAGATATATATAAAATAATGGCTTTTTTGTTTTTGATTCTGACATTATCAGCAAGCATATCAAGCCAGCCTTCTAGCATGTCTAGGTTGATATTCGAGCTGAATAAGTCAGTATAAAAAAATGAAATGCCATTGTTCTTCTTATCAGCAATTGTCTTAACAAAATGTTTTTTGGTTGAGAATAGGAAAGAAAATGAATTAGTTAGTAAAACTACTTTTGCGTGTACAAAATGTTGTGGTAGTTGTTCTGTTTAATGAATGAAGTTGCATGCATTTCATTGATAAATTGACGTGGATGAACATGGACATGCGATGTTGCTGCAATGATACATGATGTCATTGCCTGATATTTTTACATTTCAAATCCTGTCCATAATCTTAATAAATATTAGGCAGCAAGATCAAAGGAAAAATGTACAAATTGCTCATAAACACATATATCAAACTATAGCAGCATTAAAGTTATTAAACTATATAAACATGATAAAAGATGTCAGTGCCTTTTATAGCTTGCTATGTGGTATGGGTTTTGCTGTTGAAGGTGGTACAGTGACCTATAGTTTCTTACATCCACATCATTCTGTCTCTGATGGATAGTTGTCTTATTGTCAATCATACCACATCTTCTTATTTTATATTAACCGTCAGATTAGTACATTTTTACTATTTAAAATACCAATTTGACAACAACATTTGATGAGACTGCAATTTTGATAAAATTATTCTCATGAAGTGTTGTCAAATTGGTACTTTAATTATTTAATAATATTTGCTGACAACCCTGCATTCAAAGGTATCAACTTCAGGAGTCTCTACCAAAAATTAAGAACAACAGCATTGGTTCACTAACATTGACTAGATGGAGTTTTAATTTTTGCTATTTGTTTAGCAATTAATAAATCAAGTCACTCATGAATGGGACATGTTTACCACTCCTTGGTATTATAATTACAAAATGTACTTGTACATGTTGTAATTGAAATATTGTATCATCTCTTCTTTTTTAGCAGTAAGAACCATGAAGCCAATGACAAAAGAAGAATGGGAAAAACAACAGAGTGTAATTAAAAGAGTGTATGATCCAGAAACTGGCAGGAACAGGTAACAATTTACCTGCAAACTACGAAAAAATGTATCTTGACAATTGCAATTAGTCAAACTTGTGCGTAAACCTGTTATACAAAATTTGTATGCAAATTTTGTCAAAAGTTCTTTATGTCTTTCCAGAATTCGCTGATTATTTTTATGAAAGCTATAAAAAAAGTTCACATTTTTTTAAAAATACACTGAAGAAATAAAATTTGTTGTCAAAATATTAAGTTAATTGCTTAAACATGAGTTGCATATACATTATTGAGGTAACCTTTATATAATTATGAAAATAGAAAAAACAAAAAACAAAAAAACAAAAAAATCTAAAAATGCAGTTCAGTTATTTATATAAGTTCATTTTGCTTTCTTTTGTTACCATTCTCTTATAAACATACATGTATGTCTAAATTTTTAATTTGTCTAATCAAGTTGAGGAAAACTATTAATCATCTATAAAGGATATGTTAACAGTCATATATGAAAACCATTGACATATCACAATGTAGTGTGCTTAAAAAGTCCGTGATGTAGACAGAAGTTTTCTTCAAGCATAGGAAACAACTTTCAAACGTTTCAAATCTACAAAAATTATTAGGGCCCGCCCTATAGTGATCAGTCTGTCCGTCCGTCCATCCGTAACAAATTATGTCCGCTCTATATCTAGAGAACCGTTATAAATTCATACTTTATACTTGACATGCATATTAACCAACACCAGAGGGTGTGTCAGAATGTTTGTACAACTTCCTAGGTCAAAGTTCAAGGTCAAAACTTAATAAAGTGCTTCGTATCAGCTTATCCATACAAATTCTTACCACACGTTATTCACAGCGGGGCCCACAGAGATGGCTCCCATCTCAATGATGTCTGGTCTCCCTCTGATGACCTCTCTTGTAATCATTGATGAAAACACCCTCTTTTCAGTAGGTTCTATGGCAAATATACATTTAGTGAATTTTTCTCAGAGGATGATCTCCTTCTTCAGAAATATCTTATATCTCCAACATAATTTGCTGGAGATATCCCTGGTTCTAATTAAAAAAGAAAAAAAGAAAATCTATACCAAACTTATTTATACAATAGCATACTTAGGAAATGTTTGAGAGGTGAGCATCTTTTCCAAACCTTCTAAAACAAATCATTATTTAAAATTGATTTATTTATGGACGTTGGTGCCTTCTGTACAATGTAGCTGTGCATCCTTGATTTGTTTTCTTCATTTATATGGTAAAGTAGGATTAGATATATAGGAGTAACTAAAATTACCCAAGTGAAGGTAGTATTGGGAAACAAATTTTATCTGGTGAGAAGGGACAGTTATGACCTGATCAAAATAGTATAAAAATAAGCAGATGAAGTATAGTTGCCAATGAGACATTTATCCATCAGAGTCACAATGATGTGGATGAAAGCAACTATAGGTCAATGTAAAGCCTTCAACAATAAGTAAAACCCTAAATGTATAATTAGCTATAAAAGGCCCTGACATGACAAAATGTGAAATAGTTCAAACGAGAAAGCCAATAAACAAAACAAATATGAAAGACAGCACTCTGTGTTTTTGTTCGATGTATTTCTGCTTTGTATCAATCTGATGAGTTAAGCCCTTTTCAACTGATTTTTATAGTTTGTTGTTATGTTGTAATGTTACTCTACTGTCCCTGGTTAGGGGGAGGGTTGGCGCGCCTTCAAACTAGTTTAACCTCGCCACATTCTGTATGTGCCTGTCCCAAGTCGGGAGCCTGTAATTCAGTGGTTGTCGTTTGTTGCTGTATATCATATTTGTTTTTCGTTCATTATTTTGTACATAAATTAGGCTGTTAGTTTTCTCGTTTGAATAACATTTGTCATTTCAGGGCCTTTTATAGCTGACTATGCGGTATGGGTTTTACTCATTGTTGAAGGCTGTACGGTGACCTATAGTTGTTAATTTCTGTGTCATTTGGTCTCTTGTGGAGAGTTGTCTCATTGGCAATCATACCACATCTTCTTATTTTTATATAACAGGCTCCTGACTGGGAACATGTACATAAAGAATGTGGTGGGGTTAAACATGTTTGTGAGTGCTCTAAGTTCCCTGACCTTGGACAATAGTGCAACAGCACAAACTAAGAACAAACTGTAAAAATCATTTGCAAATGACTTAATTCAGAATATTGATACAAAGCTCAAAGAACAACTATCATATGAAAACAAAAAGACTAGTAGTTTTTTATATATTTTTTTATTCTAGATTGGTCAAAGGAGATGGTGAAATTTTAGAAGAAATTGTTAGCAGAGACAGACATAAAGAAATTAACAAGGTAACTCATGTATAATATTGCCTATTATTTTCATTTAGAAAGGCAGATATTCAGTTATGTAAACTTATTTAAATTCATATTTACATATTTTTGTGTTTATATGATTGGTTAATACATGTACTCGGTAGCTCCAGGTACAGTGGCAACTATTTCATTTATATAGAATGAGATCACATAACAAATTTGGAGGATCTACATGTTTAATGGACCGGGAGAAACATCTCAGTTTTCTTGCCACTGAATGAAGAAATTTTGCCATACAACTGATCACCTATAATCTTATTGAAATTAAATCAACTTGTGTAGTGAAGTTCTAGCCCAAGATAGGGTTGTATAAATTTCAATTTATTAGATTGTTACATATCAAATGCTTATCTCCCCTCTCTTTAGAAGTGTATTTTAATTGAATTTGTTAAATATTTAGTAGTAAATACAAGTAAATTTTACATTGAGGACAATCAATGGAAATCATTCTTTATCAGCCATCCATGATGATATTGATATAAACTCACAGTTGGACAGGCTTTATCCAACTTCAACAGAAAAAAAACAACATCTGTTTTAGGTTTATAATAAAAAAAAAATAATTTTGGATGTAACACATCTTCTGATAGGCTGAATGTTTTTTGTCTATCAGCTCATAGACATGATTTTGTCATGTGACCGTGACGTCATCAACATTTTTTCATGATTTACTCCTTAAAAATGGAATTTAGAATTAAATTATAAGGAATGACTGTAATATTATTTCTGTCTATTCGGAATAACCTAAAAAATGTGATGCACACTTTTAAATAGCCGGCTTCACGGTTTCGTGTTGAAGGCCGTACTTTGACCTATAATGGTTTACTTTTACAAATTGTGACTTGGATGGAGAGTTGTCTCATTGGCACTCATATCACATCTTCTGATATCATACCCCATAGAGTTCTTGGGATTATTTTGCTGTTTATTGTTGTTATGGTTGTAATATGAAAAAAACACATTTCATATTCTCTATTAATTGATATTTTACTCTTTCTAACACACCGGACTCGAAAGGCTGACATATGCATGCACGATTATTACATGGTATCAGTCATCTCAAACATAACATCACTGATATTTATAGCTTCTAACTATTGCAAAGTGGTTATTGAACAAACTATTGGCAATTTGTTTTTTTTCTGTTTAAAAATGAAGGGTACAAAGTCAAATTTGCAAAAACTTTGCCTCTGTTGAAATTTGAATGTCAGGGAGGGAGTATTGAATAAACAGGTTCCAGTACTTGCATCAATTAAAATCTCTAATGATTTTCACTTGTGTTTTAGAATAGACCAATTTTTTAGTATGTACATGTAATATCTCATAACACAGGTGGTGTGCAGAAAACGAATATCTTGATCAAAATTTGTAAGTCAAAAAGAGCAAAACTCGAAAGTGAATTTTACATTTTTGTCTTTTGTAGCAATCTACTCTAGGTGATGGAGTTTTCTTCCAGGCTAAGATGGGATTGAATAAGAAATGAGAGATAAACTGCTTTCTTCTTGACTCATTTTACAAAGGCAGTGTCAAATGTCCAGTGTTGCATGCATAAAGCACCAAATATGATTTAATCCTAGAAGCACAATGTGTTCAGAGAATTTGTATATGCAAATCAATAGACAATAACATGCTTAACTGTTATTGTTAATTTTATGTATATAGGCTTTAAGCCTTTGTTAAGATATTTTAAAATTATTTGTTAGTGTCTTTCTGTGAGTAGATCATCAAATAAATAAAATACATGTATATTTAATGTTTTTGTTTTTCATTTTCTTTGTTTTTAGATAAAATAATTAAATGAGACATCTTTCAAAAAGAGTCCAAATGACTTGGATTTTAGAAATTATAGGTCACAATGGCCTTCATCAATGAGCAAAACCCATAGTGTATAATGAGATATAAAAAGTAAAATAACAAACATACTGTACTCCAAGACAAATTAAAAAAGGAGAAGTCCATAAAAACTGAGAAAATCAAATGCTATCAATCAACAGAACAAGTGAAAAACAACTGCCATATTCCTGACTTGGTAGTTGGTACAGGCATTTTCCGAATAAAATGACGGGTTAAACCTGGTTGTATGGCTAACTAAACCTCCCTTATTGTATGACAGTTGTTTTTAGTTCTGTTATATTGACAAAATTGGGTGAGCAACCCATACAGACATAATACTAGGGTATTATGACAATAATTGGGATCCAGCAGTCAAAACTGTAAACATACATCACAGACTAACAAAGACACCAACAAAAAAGGTTTAGTAAATAGTAATAACTCATCATAGAAGCCAATACCAAAATTGTGTACGCCAGACTCGCGTTTCCTCTTCAAAAGACTCATCTGTGACATAAATTAGACAATGACGTCACCATACATACCGTATATAGTAAACACTTTCTCAATAAAGTGAAAATTAAGTAAATAGAAGTACAAGGGTTAACAAAATAGAAACAACAATGTAAAAACACTTGAATCGCACCTCAGGACCCACCTGCACCAGAAATGCCAAAAGTTAAAAAGTCAAAACCTGATGGCGGGATGCATAAATACCGAGTCACATCAAAAGTCATATGACCAAAAGAAACATAATAGCACGAAGACAAATAAAGGGGAAACTAAAGTTAAATAAAAAGATACACAACTTCAGCACCTAGAATCTACAACTCAAGACCATCATGTATTATTTGTGAAGTAGACACTGAATATTTATCTATGAAGTCTTGGAACCTTCCTATGAACTTTTTGAGAAAAAGGACAAGACTTTCTTTGACAAAACCCTGGCTCATTAATTTTTTGCTCAGAGCTGAGAAATGTATACTCCATACGTGGGTGAAAGTGGAATATTGCTGCTAATAAACTACTTGAAAATTTAGTGTTTTTGTTGTTAGTTTGTCTTTTGTTTAAATGTCTGTTTTCTTTGAGTCAGTTGTTTGTGGTTGGTGTTGTCTTGTTTCAGATATTTTTGCTTATTCTTGTTATCGTAATGATGTATTAGGATTTCTACATAAAATAAGGAGATGTGGTATGATTGTCAATTACTGAATTAGACAACTATCCAACAGAGTCCAAATGACGTCAATTAAAGCAATTCAAAAATGGGCAAAACTCTGAATGGGAGTCAGCTATAAAAAACCCTGACATGTTAAAATGTTAAACAATTCAAACAAAAAACCAACGTCCTGACCTATGACAAAACAATTAACAAAAAACAGTTAGAGGTTTGTCATCAAGATTCAAGTGAAGGAAAAAAAGGGCATTGTGTATTACTGTACATGGATTCATGGTACCAATTTTTGAGAAAAAAATTTGTATTTTTGTTGATGTTTGATTTCTAGGTTTTGCCAAGTCAGAACACAATTATTTTGTATAGAAAATTTATATTTTGTTGAGAATTTAAATCCATGATTGACCTTTGTTCATGAAATTGACATAAATTGGTATACCTCAAATAATAATGAATCCACAGTAATTCACGACACAAAATCATTTCCTTAACCCAAAGAACGGTTTTTAATGTGTGCATGGTTTACTTTTATAAATCTCTGTGTTGAAGGCTGTACCTTGACCTATAATGGTTTACTTTTATAAATTGTTACTTTGATGGAGAGTTGTCTCATTGGCACTCATACCACATCTTCCTATATCTATTTGGTCTATTAGCGTCCATTTAATTGACATTAACCCCAAAGTTCCTTTTATTTCATGCTTAGTGGGTACTTAAACACCAAACATTGTGGTACATGTAGGTCACTGCTTGTCAAGTTTCAATGACTATAGACACAACAATTTTTTTTATCTCTTAAAATGAAGGATAATCCAAACTTGAAAAACTGGCACTTTGTGGAAGTCAGTATGCAAGCAAATTAAGGTGGGTTAGTTTGTCAAACTTTTCCTACTTCACTCACCATTGGCATATCTCAATTCCATGGAGATTATTTGGCTATGGTCCATTGACTTTAAATCTTTTGCATAGTTTATATATTATATAAGCAGACCTATACTTTTGTCAAAAGTTTATATAGTCTTGGATAGAATAGAGAATGGAAAGGGGAATGTGTCAAGAGAACAACTTTACCAAAGAGCAGAAAACAGCCCAAGGCCACCAATGGGTCTACAACACAACAAGAAAATCCTGCCCCTATAGGCGGACTTTAACTGGCCCTGGCACTAAACAATAATGTTCAGTCTTCCAGTTGGGAATGATGTCAGAAAAATACTTATTTTTCATGATTTATCCATTGACTCTTATTCAGTTTATACAAGGTCATTCCAAAGAATCTGAAAAGAGTATATAACATTCTATTCCTTTAAGTAATGTGGGTTACAAATCAAAACCAAGGAGGTAAATTTCTGTGATTAACAACTCCTACTCCATTTGTGGCACCTGTTGTTTTGCTCATAATTAAAACAAGTGTTTGTGTTGATAAGACACCATGTCTCACTTGCACTGTCACATCTCACTTTTCCATGAACTCTGAAATCCGATTCAAGACCCTGATATGGCAGGTGTGTTAGGGTAATGAGCACAACTTCATAGACTGAAGCACTGCTGGAAAACATAATGCCCTACTTCTCTTGTATATACCAAATTTCTTTCCTCTGCAGAAATGACATGCAAACTTATCTTCAAAGCAATGCTAAGGATTAATTTTAAGCTGGATATGGTTGTTGAAAAGGTACTTGATGCTTCATGGTTATTTCACAATTGCTTGATATGTCTTCACCATTTTTGTACACATTATTATATATGATGCTTCAGTTTACACTGCTGTGAATGCTAACATGAATAATCACCTAGTGCGAGATATGTGCAATAACAGAAACCATAAATATTTACTGAGGAAAACGTCTTACATTATGGAAGGGATGGTAGTCAATTGAGTAATAATAACAAGAGTGCACCTGCTGAAATGTCTCGCCTGTTTTACTGACCATTGATTTCAAGTTGTAAGTCTTAAAGATAAAGGTTTTACTATAAGTAAAATATAAACTTAACATTTTTAAAGATCCATGACAATGAGGTCAAGGTCACATAAATCCTGTTTGACTGACATGTTCACCTTACAATTATTCTAAACATCAAATATAGTTGACCTATTGCTTACAGTAATTGAAAAACAGACAAAACCTTAACATTGACCAATGAACCATGAAAATGAGGTCAAGGTCAGATTATACCTGCCAGACATACATGTACACCTTACAATCATTCCATACACCAAATATAGTGTGACCTACTGCTTATAGTATCTGAGAAACTGACCTAATTACACATTTTTAACCTTGATCACTGATCCATATGATGAGATCAAGGTCAGGTGAACTTGTCTGACAGACATGTAGATGTTACAAGGAACCCATATACCAAATTACTCATAATAAGTGATAAATTCACATGACAAAATAAGTATAATTATTTTTCAAAGGTATCTGCATAAAGTCATGTAGCATCAATGTCTTCTACCTTCTGAAATAAAAAGCCTTATACAAATAGTTTACACCACACCACCAGATAGTAATCCCTGTCTCACATACAGCGACTTTAGTCACAGGCAAGAAAAAAACTAAGAGGCTCTGATGGGTTAGAAAAAACAAACGTTGGTGGACTGGTGGTCTAAGTAGATCTTCAACAGTGATCACTAACCTGTCAACAATGAGGTCGGAGTTCAAACTCAGCTCATGGCAAGGTGCGTTTGACTTTTATCTCCAATGACTAGGATTTTTCTATTTTCCTGCCAAAAGTTGTGGTTCTCTCCATTTCTTCCACCTTCAATAAACTGGCTGCCATGATATAGTGAAGAGTGCTAAATGTGACAATTAACACTAACAATCAATCAAATTACTGGCATGTTTTTTAAAAAAAAAAAGGGAAATAATTAAACCAGTCTGGTTGTTGTCCAAAATAAAGAACTTGTTGAAATATATATAGAATCTTGATAAAAAGTTAACAAAAAGTAAATAGAAAGATTCTGGCAATAAACTAGAAAAGTACATGTTCTACATATTCTTTATTTACATGTTTACAAAATGATCAACAAATTATCATAACAACAACAACTATAGTATAATTTGCTCCACAAAATATTATTAAACAAGTATATTTAAGTCAGTTCAAATAGAGTGTCTTGCTGAAACAGTCTGTTCTGAAATCTTACTTAATGGATGATAATCCGGAATCAAATTTTATAATTTGAAGCCAGTTATCTCCCCTGGCAGGAGAATGGGTTTGATGATGCATGATAAGTTACATAATGTGTATTGGAACCTATCCACGGTCAAATATTCCAGTATTTCGGTCAGGTTAGTTTAGCCATGTATTTTCTTTTTTTAAAATTATACCAGTATTTTGATTCTAGTACAATATGAATATTATTCAATGTCCTTAAATGTTCAAGAAAATTTTTGACCAATACTTAAATGTACTAATTTTAATGTGAAATTTATAAAAACTTAAAATTATCAACAAACTATGCTTTTAAGTATCAACATGATTATGCCTTTTTTTTTTAGTTAAGTTTTAGTTTAGTTTGACTTGGAGACACTTTAAGTGTAAGAAGTTTGATTACTAAATAATTATAAATCAAAGAATTTTAATTGAACAAACTTCCTTATAAAGATGAGTATTTTGTAGAGCAAATTGTACCATGACAAAAAGCACTTTTAATGGTTTGATTCGAATGAGATTATATAATTAATATCAAGGTTTAAAAATCACAGGTATGCAGGATAACTAACTACCCACAATGCATCTACAAATATGGTTTTATTTGTACTGTGGGATACCTTCAAGGACTGCTCCATTTTAACAATGCATGGTCTTTCATTCAGGCATTCTTAAAATTAAGGAGCACGCAATCGACAATTTTCATATTACCGACTTTGACTCCGGATTATATAATTTTTCGACAGGTTACTTTTTCTGAGGTAGGACTTCCTGGTACTCAGTCAAGTGAGAGCAACCAAAATAAGTAAAATCAAACATAATCAGTGTAATTTGAGGGGAAAGTTTACTGTTTTCGGATGATTTTGTCGTGTAAAGAAAATATAAAGCAGTTACTTTTCCCCAAAAATTGTACTGATTGAAAGCTTGATTTTTCTTATTTACTTTGCTCTTACCTGATTTGGTTCCAGGATGTCCTACCACAGAGTAGGTAACCTGTCGAAAAATATAAACTCCGGAGTCAAAAGTCGGTTATATGAAAATAGTCTATTATTATTCCCTAGTATAAAAATTCACTCATACATACAATTTCAAAGTGCCTTCCCAGGCTCCAATATATATTTTGATGGTTCATCCCATTTAAGGCAAATACAACCGAAAACAGCCATTAATCATAATAACAGGAAATGCATTGAATTTATTACAGCTATTCTAATAGTGTATGTTAAACAAAAGTATGGCAAGTGGGTTACTAAGTTTGATCATTGCTACAATTAAATGACTCATGGATTAAATCATTCGTCCAATCAAATCTAAGTACTTTTTTGTATTTTTTTATACTGAAAATATTCCCGTTTTATCGATGTCAATGCAAACTGTATTATTTGAGTAAACATCCTAACAAACTTGGCAAGTAAACTGACCAAACATTTGATGGACCTGCTATTTTAGAAGAGGTCTAATTTTAAATCAATATTCTTGTTATCATCTATTTAACTATTAGTTCTATAAAATGTCTTGAGGCCAACAAAATATGCTTGTTTATGGTTTCTTCCTTTCCAAAATTAGGGTAAAAGGGAGGTAGGATTAATTTTATATTGTGTGAAGTTTTTTGTCTTTAGGGGGACCTTGCAATAATAGCTGTAAATCCAATGAAACTTTAGGGTAGGCATTTTGAGACATACAAAATGGAGCATGTAGGGAAACCCAAAAATCTTCTCTTTTTTGGCCTCATTAAATGTCAGTGGTAAATATGGGAATTAAATATATTTCAGCATTTTAATTGTATTACATAAATTATTAATGAAAGCCATTGCTGTTTATCGAATAAGGGTCTGGATGGGGGTCCTTCTTGTCTTCATTTTTGAAAAATTTTGTGACTATTTTTCTCTATTCTTCATTTTATTTTTTGTCCATTATTTTCTATTCTTTATAATTAAGCACCCCATTATTCTCTATTCTTCATTTGTTTTGCCTATTTTTTTTCTTTTTTTTTTTCAGTTCATTATTTCTACACTTTTTGTTCATTATTCTCTATTCTATAAACCCCATCCAGACCCTCATGAAGGGTCCTAAAGTTTATGTATGTTTATGAATACAAGGTAATATGTGATTTACTTGTTAAGAATCCATGGGATTTAGAAGTAACTTAGAAGCTGATGTAACCATGATACCAATGGACAACAGATTGCATTAAAACGATGTTGAATCACATTGCAGTTTGAAAACAAAAACATTTGTAAATGTACTTTGTCCATACAATTTCAAAATACTATATGAGTAATGAAAATGATTTCTGTCAAAGCTCATATCAAAGTGTACTTCTAAAAGTATCAAATATATATATAACATGCTTTTTCCTGATGATAATAAAATGTATATGACTGTATAGAGTTTTTAAAAATATCATCAAATTTTCATCATCTGATATATAAAGACAATTATGTTAAGGGCTGTTCCATTAAAACATACATGGTACCCAGGGAAGGCACTTTAAAAATGGGGTTACCACCTAAAGAGGCAAATTAAAATTTCACTTGCATTTCCACTATGCAAAAATATAGATGACACACACCCATAGATCAGATTTGGAAGTGCCTTCCCTGTGTCCCATGATGACATTGCAGTCTTTGAAAGCATTTCTTTGAACTGTTGAATTTACAGTGGATTCATTTTCATTCAAGGGATACCAATGTTTGTAGATTTGGTGATAATTGGTAAACCACTTAAGGATGTTTGCTACTCTGTTTCAGAATAACAAGCTTTTTAAAAGACTGTTATAAATTGATAGTATATGAATAAAGGAACTAAAAAAGCAGAAAAAAATGAAGGGTCCATGTGCTTGTTTTCGACATATAAGCCTTTGAAAATTTGAAATGATTCTATCTAGATTTTTCATACATTTAACATTGGTACTTTTTTTCTTTCAAAAACAATGAAAAAATAATAAAGATTTTATAAGATTTTCAAATATGACTTTTTAAACTATATGTAATAAAATTATGCAAAGAAAAGTGAGGGTTGGCGGGCAAATTTTTATTGGTATTACATTGGATATAACTAGACAATTCCGAATATCTGACAAAAAAGTCTAAAACCAGAGTAGCAAACATCCATAATTTAAATGAAGTATGACTTTTCTTTAGGCTTGTATGCAGAATTTGGCAAAATTGTGAAATCAAATATCCATACAAATGTTAATTTTCCTCCATACATGAAAACTGGCACCCATAAAAAAAAAATCCACAGTAACACTTTCATTTTCTCCATTCTTATTTAATAATTGTCTCATTTAGACATGTGAATTAATCTTTCATGGACAGCAAATGTATAAATCAAATTTTTTCCAACTCCCAGTAAAACAATTATTTAATTTCAAAACTTTCCAAAGTAAAATGTGATTTAAGTTCAGAAGACTTTGAAGATTATCACAATTGGACCAAATCAGCAATATCCAACCTCTTAAAATATGACTGAATTCCATACCAATCAGGCAGTGACATTGACTTTCCCACAATGCAAATATATTTCCAGAAATGATTCTGTAATTCACTGTATACAGGTAAAAATGATGGTGGATGTGCCAAATGTTCTCCATTTTGGCTCTTTTGCAATTTTGCCAGCTAGACTTTCATTTCTTGTGAAAATGTACACACAATGTTTCAATATTTGCCACCTTTGTATACAATTGGTTCAAAGTTGATAAAATAAGTTAAGATTTTCACTTAATACATCCCCATGCCGCAACACTGTTTACAGTTTACATTATAATTGAACAAAACTTGCCAAAATTTCTTCATACCACATTCAATTTAGAAGGTTTTTATTTTTAGAAGGACATTTGGGCAATGTATCTATCATATTTCAAAACTTTGACGTTGCCATTCCTACATAATAGGAATTTTGTCAAAGGAAACAACCTCCTACAGTATATATTGGAATAGACAAAATATTACTTCATAGTATACACCATCTTGCAACTTTTCAATTTATAACCTGAATAAAAACTTATGGGTTCCTATTTCAAAACATGGAAATGAATCACACTGAACATGGTTGAACATTTGTTTATGGCACATAATAGTGATGGCATTCACAACATTTAAATAATGGACTCGGATAACTCAATTAAAATGTTAGTTTTCACAAAAATGTAGCACAAAGATGGCAGTGCCAACATAATATAAAATGTACAATATTTCAAACAAAAGGTCTTTACTTTACTACATATTTACTTCAAACAAAAAGTTTTCTTTTTCACCCATTGTATCTTTTTTTTTATCATTATTGCAGTGACAACATTAGAACAGTTTTTACAATCAATAAGTATACCACTTATACTGAAACTTCTTTTCAAACAAAGAAACCATTAGTAAAAGATGAAAATCAAACATGCTAGAAATTAACCTCAAATAGCACATTAAAAATATTTTAAAATGTTTAGAGAACTTAATTAGCAGTAAAATAGATTTGAATAGACTATACTATGCCAGTTTTGTTTGGAAATAATGTTGATGAAACAAAGGTTCTACAATTTCACATTAAAATATATAATGGGAGATAACTCTACCCCACAAGAAATCATTCTGTCAATATGGGAGATACTATCACACTAATTACACTGTTATAATTCTATCAATATGGGAGATAACTCTATCAAACCTTATAATTCTATCAATATGGGAGACAATTCTATCACACAATAAATCTATCAATATGGGAGATAACTCGATCATACAATAAGTCTCAATATGGGAGATAACTCTATCACACAATAATTACTCAGGTATCATTCTATCAATATGGGAGATAACTCATCACACAATAATTACACTGGTATCGTTCTATCATAATTCTATCATAATGGGAGATAACTCTATCACACAATAATTACACTGGTATCATTCTATCATAATGGGAGATAACTCTATCACACAATAATTACTCAGAGTATCATTCAATCAATACCCTTGTACACACACATGCTCTGTCAGATAGATAAACTTTAAACCTTATTAAAATAACCACTTCCACACAAAATGTTCTTTTTCAACAGTTTAAAAATGCAATTATAATATTATTGATGCATACAAAACGTCCCAATTTTGTTCTAACATTAATTTAATCACAAACAATTAAATATAATAATATATGACAAGAGATCCACAATGATGCATGAAAATTTCACTAGGCAAACCTGAATAGGAAGAACATATCTATAATTAGTTAGAATGTCAAACTTAAAATATTCACGTCTTTTATCATTGAAATGTTCATACCTTTTACTTACGGAAAATTTCTAAACACGTGAAAAAATCTTGCAACAAGCACGACTTCAGGTCAATAATGAATACATTTGTAATGATAAAGGTGTGAAAAAAATATTTGATGGCAAAATAAGAAATTAAACATATACAATAAATAGAAAGGCACATCAAGTTTGCTGAAAAATAAATAATGGTCGGGTAATTGCAAGTAGTACATTTCTATAACACTAATAATTAGCAGTATAAACCAATGCACATACAAAGTTTACGTTATGCTTGGCTTTACAACAATAATGCAAGGATTTCTATTCAAACTAAGTTTATATAAAACAACCAAATTTCTTTGTTCTACTTTTATATAGATATTGAAAAAAAATTATGACGAGTATTTTAATATTATTTTTTTTTTTTTTTATTTTGGGTCCAATAAAAATCCCTTACTGGTACTTTATCATTTATCAACTGTGCTATTTTAGACCTACTTTACAAACGTCAGTATCGAAGGCCATTTAATTTTCCATTTTTAATACCATTATATTATCAGTCACTGTGAGGCAAAACAATCCAATTTAGTTTTTTTCTCTCAAATGAATGAGCAGTACTACACTGTTATACTGGCATGTGTATGATATCAAATATAAAATAATAAACAATTTATCAGCGAAGAAAGCAAAATCTTTATCAGTTAAAGGTAGAAAAGGTTCAAGTTAACGTTTCACAGTAAAAAAGAAAAACACCGACAATACTTCACAATAAAAACACTAACATATATCATATGACTGCTATGAACCAGATGAAGGTTTTGTAATTGCAGTTGTAGTATTAATATTTGTCGTCGTAACAACATTTGGTACAGAAACAACAACAAGCGGTTTCACAACTGAAGGTATCATTGATTGGACTTGTCCTGCTTGTAACAATCCAGGTGTGAAGATAGGAATCTGTTTCAGTAACATCTGACTTAACTGGGCCTGTGTCAGTCCTGCTGCTCCAAGCTGAAGAGCTGGGGACATGGGAGACAGCAACTGGGTACCAGGTGTCATCTGAGCTAGAGACATAAGCTGGAGTGATGAAGAGCCTTGATTAGATGTTGTAGTAAATACGGGAGATGGAGAACTTACGGTTGATAAAACCGATGGTAATGATGTCCGTGGAATTGTCTGTGCCAATAATGCATTTAATGGTATGTGTCCAGCCATTAGGTGAGGTGCAAACATTGGTCTCACATTAGCCATTTGTGTAACATTTTTAGCATGCTGAGTGGCCTGTACACTTGTAACAGCAGCTGTTGGTACAACATTTGTTTTCACAGGTGCTGTCACTGCGGAATAAGTCACCGGATTAGTTTGAACAGTAGGTGTAAAACTAGTTACCACTGCATGGGACTGGTGCATACTGGTTACAGCTGGATTGGGTGTCACTAAGAGATGCTGTGTGACTGGTAATCCTTTGCCAACAGGCTGCACCTGGAATGTTGTCATGGGTATCGACAGGCCAGCATTAGCCATTTTACTGATTGCCTGTAATTGTGCGCTTGGATTGGACATATGTGCATTCAAAGGGGTAAAGGTAAATGTTGGTCTGGCATTTGTCACTGGTCTAGTGATGCTTGAAGTCACAGATGTGGCTGTAAAACAAAATAATATGATGATAAAAATACAACAACAACTCAGGGTTATTCCATTAAAACATACATGGTACCAAGGGAGGGTACTTTGAAAATGGGCTAACCAAGAATAGAGGCAATTTAAAATTTCACTTGTTTTTACTGTACAAAAACATATTTGAGATTTTGAAGTGCCTTCCCTAGGTCATGTGCTTTTTTTCATTGGTGTGTGTGTGTGTGTTGGGGTAGGTGGTAGAAGTTTTTCCACTTTATTTCAATTTTTCATAGAATAGCAGATGAGAAATAGACTTATAAATCAAACATCTGATGAGGATAATGATAATCATGATAATTCACATCCTAATTTTTTCATTATTACATTGGTTGCCATTAAAAATTGTAATTATGTTTAAGGAGCCTGTATTGCTCACCTAAGTAAAGAGGAAGAGGACTGTGTGAAACACATCTTGTATTGTACTAATAACCTGCATTATATGTATTGTGTAAGATCATGACAATCATACTTAAATAATAAAATGCTCCGCAGGGCGCAGCTTGATACGACCGCAGAGGTCGAACCCTGAACAGTTGGGGCAAGTATGGACACAACATTCAAGCTTGATACAGCTCTGAATTTGGATTGTGATTAAATATTTGACACAGCATAGGTTTCTGACACAAAATGAATGTGGTCTAAGAACTTAAAAATTTTAAATTGGACATTCACCTATTATTGTCAAATATCCAAAATCTAAATACATGGTTAGATTCAGCATATCAAAGAACCCCAAGAATTCAATTTTTGATGAAATCAAACAAAGTTTAATTTTGGACCCTTTTGACCTCAATGTGGACAAAGTTGATAACGGGGCCCAAAAATCAAAAATCTAAATACATGGTTAGATTCAGCATATCAAAGAACCCCATATATTCAATTTTTGTTGAAATCAAACAAAAGTTTAATTTTGAACCCCGATTTGGACCAACTTGAAAACTGGGCCCATAATCAAAAATCTAAATACATGTTTAGATTCAGCATATCAAAGAACCCTAAAAATTCAATTTTTGTTAAAATCAAACTAAGTTTAATTTTGGACCCTTTGGACCTTAATGTAGACCAATTTGAAAACGGAACCAAAAATTAAGAATCTAAATACACGGTTAGATTCGGCATATCAAAGAACCCCAATAATTCAATTTTTGATGAAATCGAACAAAGTTAAATTTTGGACCCTTTGGACCTCAATGTGGACCAATTTAAAAACGGGGCCCAAAATCCAAAAACTTAATACACGGTTAGATTCAGCATATTAAAGAACCCCAAGAATTCAAGAATAAAACCCCATTGAAATTGATCGAGAAATAAGCAATTTATACGAAGTATCTTCTTTTGCACAATACTGTGCAATTGAATATTTCTTGCTATTGTGCAAAACTGCACAATTGACAATTTCTTGCTATTGCACAATACTGTGCTATTGGATATTTCTTGCTATTGTGCAATGCAATTGAAAATTTCTTGCTATTGCACAATACTTATTATATAATAATTTACACATCCTGTTTGGTGTGTATCTCCTACCATATCATTATTATTTGCTTTTAAATATAAATCAGAAATAACCAACTTAAAATGGAAAATTTTAAAAGAAAAAAAAAATGAAAAAAAGAAAAAAAAAGAAAAAAAAAAAATCCCCCCCCCCAAATTTTTTGAACCCCCTTATGATTCATCACCCCCAAACTCAATCCCAGCCTTCCCTTTGTGGTATGGTACCTTGCAGTACAATTTCAGAGAGATCCATACACTTGAACACAAGTTATTGTCATGAAACTAGAAAAATGCTTGTTCTTTGCCCCTTTTTTGGCCCCTAATTCCTAAAATTTTGAGGCAATTACCCCCAAAATCAATTACAGCCTTCCCTTTGTGATATGGAACCTTGTGGTACAATGTCAGAGAGATCCATACACTTACACACAAGTTATTGTCTGGAAGTTACAAAAATGCTTATTTTTGGCCCCTTTTTGGCCCCTAATTCCTTAACTGTTGGTACCATAACCCCCAAAATCAATCCCAACCTTCCTTTCGTGGTATTGAACCTTATGGTAAAATTTTATGGAGATCCATTCACTTAAACTAAAGTAAGAGTGCGAAAACCAATGTGTCTTCGGACGACGCCGACGTCATACCAATATACGACCAAAAATTTTTTAATTTTTGCGGTCGTATAAAAAGGAGATGTTGTATGCCAATCAGAGACCAAAGAAAGTTGATGTCAAAACCTTTAGACAAAGTTTTGTTCCTGTTGGCTTCAAAGTTTTCCAATTGTGATAATTCAGAAAATTCCTATAACTAAAATATCAACCATACTTTCATACACATCATTAAGTCTCTGGTGGAGAGTTGTCTCATTAGCAATCATACCACTTTCTCTTATTTTTTAAAGAATAAATTTTATAGATCTTTCCTGTCCAAATTGAGCAATTTTTTTTTACGAAATTTTAAACACAGGGCTACATGGCAAAGCTCTACTTAAAATATTACTTTTAAACAACATATATAATCATATTTTCAAAATATACAAAAAATTTCTGTCATTTGATTTTAATACCTAATTGTGCTTTTTGTTGTCTCTGCAGCATCTGTCTTTGGTTTAGTGTGTGGGCCAATAATTGTGTCACTGGTGTACGAGCTGGAAACTGGCTTAATGGTATGTAAGGATTCGGACTGATTGTTGTCGTCACTTTGTTACAGTTGACAAAGGATGGTGGCGCCACTCTGGGCTGAGCTGGGACTATTGTGTTGGTAACCCTGACAACATCACTGGAAATAGTTGTTGATGCTGGCTGGGTTAAATGAATTGTTCCTTTGGTTGGCGACCGCTTCAGTTGACCTGCTGAAATAAACAAAGCCATGATAAATGAGTAACACAAACAGAAGACACAAAGGTAATTACCAGTGCGACATAACATGGGGTAATGTAACATTTAGTTTGAAAAAGGATACTTTTTATTGAATTATAGCTTGATTGATTGATTGATTGGTGTTTTACACCACATTCAACACTATTGTGCTATTTCATGGCGGTCAGTTTTTATTTGATGGAGGAAGCCAGAGTGCCCGGAGAGAACCACTGACCTTCGGTAGGAAAACTGACAATCCTAGTCAATTAAGATTAGAGTCGAGTGCACCTGCCCCATGTAGGATTCGAACTCACAACCTCAGTGTTGACTGGCTAGTGATTACAGTAGTAACTACTTATATATAATTAGACCACTCGGCAGTTATAGCTTAAACATCTCATCTTTGTAATATGGTCAAATAAATCAAATATATTAATTTAAGCCCTGTTTACCAGGCTACAGTAGAACAGGGCAGCCCTCAAAGTAGGTTTAAAGACCAGATTGTTTTTTGGCCACCAGATATAAAATTTCAGTGGCCAATTTAAAATTTTAGTGGCCAGGAATTAATTTCAGGTCGCCTAAGAAATTTGTTATAGAAGTCTAGTCAGTAGAGCTAATGAAGACTAGTAAAAAAAGAATATCAATAAATTTTTTATTATATAGAATAGTAGACATAAAATAATTTGTCTTAGTTCAAAGCAAATATTGCTTATAGTTAACCCTTGTATATCTTTTGTTCTTATTTTCTTTACTATACTTGTTAAATCAATATTGATGAAAGAAACATAATGACCAAACCATGACTAAGTTAACAAAAAAGTAAATATTCATTGAGGTTTGATAATAAATTTTAATAATGGAACAAGGGAACAAGTTGTTGCAACGATTTTAGGCTTAATCATAACATTAGAAGATGTACTTGGCTCATCAGAAGCCGGAGTTTCTATAGAGGAACTCTCCACCCCTTCTTTTTGTTTCTTAGCTGTTGAAATATCGTTGATTTGGGTAGTTGTTTTGAAGAATCCAGACAGCAACATCTGTTTGGCTGCCATGATGTATTGGCCCCGAAAACACTTCATCAGACGCTTGAATTCCCAGTTAAGTTAAGCACTTTATAGACCCCGTTAAGATTAAAAATGCTTGAAATCATATTCAAAATTTAGCATACATTCAAGCGCTCGTATGACTGTGAATAAAACTTAATAAAATACGACCGGAGGCAGGTTGATTATCCGGAATTTTATGGTCGCCAGGTCCAAAGAGTAACAGTCGCCAAATGGCAACCAACAATGAAATTAAGGTCGCCTGGAGGCTTTATAGGTCGCCCAGGCAACTGTTTTAATAGCCTAAATTGAGGGCTGCAGGGATCACCACAGGCTATTTCAGGGTGGTACTCTTTCAATTTTAAAGTTTTAGCTCAATCCTTGAACTTATTGGCACCAATCTCTAATTTTTAGATTTTTGAAAAATTTCTTAAGTATTTTTTGTGTCAGAGTTAAGTCTTTTCAGATTTTGGTATGACTTAAATTAAGATACATACACACAAACATGTATGTGTAAATTTCATGTATATTTTATTCAAATAATTGCAAAAAGGTATATATTTCTTCCAATCCAACAATTTCCACTTGATGTTAATTAAGCAAGCAACACTCAATCTTCATTATTTTTCTAAAAGTTCATATGATTGTGTTATAAGCTCTACCATTGAAAATCTAGCTGTGTTAACCCCTGGTTAACTATTTTGACCTGACCCTGACAGTTTTTCATAAAGTTAATAACATTTCCTCATCAGTATAAAAGTTCATTACAAAATGAACAAGCATTCTGAGAGTATTGCATGGCAATACATAGTCCCCTACCGGGTAAAAATTCATTTTACTGGAACAAAATGCTAACTTGTTCTATAACTTGTCATGGTGTAAACAAAAAGTAAATATCATGTAAATATCTTCAAGCATGACTAAAAACAGTGTGGAAAACTGATTATATGAGTGAAAAAAACATTAGATATGTTTAATAGTTCTCTAAAATTAGATATGATGTAATACAGTGTATATCTATTTTCAAATTATAATCAAATATAATTAATAGTTCCAAATATTTTTTCTTTCATTTGTCACAAACTAATATAGATTTGTAACTTATCTATAAAATGTCAACAACATTTATCTACACAATGTAATGTATTAAAATATATACATTAATAAATATAGATTATTATGTAATTAAAGGATTTCTCTTCATAATATTTTTCTTTATATATATATATAGCATTCAGAAAATAAGTTTATACTAAATAACAAACAAACCTGCTAAAAAATTCTTCAAATAATTTAACAATGAATGTCTTTTTAAAAATGAGTTATCTCCCTTTGTACAGAAATATGGTTTAACATAGTACTCTAACATTAGATATGGTCCAGAGTTATTGTCCATAACTCTGGACTAAATTATCAGACCAGAACAAAATTAGTACTCGATCTGTAACTTGTTATGATAAAACAATATACCAAATATCAAATCAACATCTTCAAGCATGAAGAAATTAAGTGTGGAAAGCTGATTTGCGGGACTGACAGAAGGACAGACAGACAGACGGAGTGCAAACCTAAAGTCCCCTTCGACTTCGTCGGTAGGGGACTAAAAAGTAGGTGTAGACGCTAATTTTGGAATTACATTTATGACATTAAAGTGTCAGGATAATTTGGGTTCAGAAATGGGTGTCTTTGGCTAATTTATATGAAATAATTGGCAGAATTTAATATAAAATTGTAGAAGTATGTAGAAAAAATAAATGGTCAGAGAAATAATAAGGATGCATGTTTGCATAAAAAATACTTTTATATTTTATAATATTCATGATACTGCTGTAAAGGAAAAAGCTGAAATAAAAAGTTTGTCATTGCTTACATTTGACTATTCTTAGTCAATTTATTATAAATTGATAGTAAATGCATTATTTATTTACATTTTTTAATAGTCTTGTACAATTTACAGGTAGACTCTGTCTATTGTTGAAGATTGTATATTAACATCTGGTTGTTTTCATTATTATTTGTGGGGTACACATTTTTGTGGATTTTGTGGGTAAAAGTGATGATGATGGGGGTTATTAACGACCTTGACTGGCTATACAGGTAGAAGTGATGATGATGGGGGTTATAAACGACCTTGACTAGCTATACAGGTCAAAGTGATGATGATGGGGGTTATTAACGACCTTGACTGGCTATACAGGTAAAAGTGTTGATGATGGGGGTTATTAACGACCTTGACTGGCTATACAGGTAAAAGTGATGATGATGGGGGTTATTAACGACCTTGACTGGCTATACAGGTAGAAGTGATGATGATGGGGGTTATTAACGACCTTGACTGGCTATACAGGTAAAAGTGATGATGATGGGGGTTATTAACAACCTTGACTGGCTATACAGGTAAAAGTGATGATGATGGGGGTTATTAACGACCTTGGCTGGCTATACAGGTAAAAGTGATGATGATGGGGGTTATTAACGACCTTGACTGGCTATACAGGTAAAAGTGATGATGATGGGGGTTATTAACGACCTTGGCTGGCTATACAGGTCAAAGTGATGATGATGGGGGTTATTAACGACCTTGACTGGCTATACAGGTAAAAGTGATGATGATGGGGGTTATTAACGACCTTGACTGGCTATACAGGTAAAAGTGATGATGATGGGGGTTATTAACGACCTTGACTGGCTATACAGGTAAAAGTGATGATGATGGGGGTTATTAACGACCTTGACTGGCTATACAGGTCAAAGTGATGATGATGGGGTTTATTAACGACCTTGACTGGCTATACAGGTAAAAGTGAACCACAAATCTAAATGTTCAACTAAAGTACAAATATTCAAGCGTTTTATGCAGAACTTGTCAAAACTTCGAAAATAAATCATCCACGAAACTACAATTGTCTCCTCCATCCACGCAAGTTGGGACCCATAAAAATAAATGAGTCCACAGTAATTGGATGTTGGTCTACTTTACATGACTGAGGTTTTCCAAACATCTTTCAATTTCATGCTTTGCAGTATGGGTTTTGCTCATTGAGGCGGTACCGTAACCAATAGTTATTTACTTTAACGTCAATTGGTCTCTGGTGGAGAATTGTCTCATTTGGCAGTCATACCACATCTTTTTATTTTTAGACTCATAAAGAATGATTAAATAATTCATTTTTTGTCATTATGATACTTACTTGTATATAGTTTGTAGGGGCCCCTTCCGGGGAGTTCTTCATTGTCCTCCTCACTACATATTGGACTGCCTTGTTCTGAATAAACATTCCAAACATGTATGTATTTGGTCAAAGATAACAAATTGATATACTGCACTGACACTTGCCATTTGTTAAGGTTTTTATGTCTTTTGAGTTTATGTGTCATTGGGTTGCTGTCCAATTGACAATACACCCAACATTTCTTTTTTGTTTCTAATAAGTAATGATAGGTTTTGCTCAGCTACTACTCACACAATTTCTTGTCTGGCTGGGCATGGTGGGCAGCGGTGGGGGATTTTTGAAATTAATAATAATATATATATTGATGTATTTATATTACTGATATATATTTGGTTGAAGAATTTAAAAGTGATAATAAACAAGCATTATGAGAATATTGCATGGCAATACATAGTCTCCTACTGGTTAAAATTTCATTGTACTGGAACAAAATGCTAACTTGATCTATAACTTGTCATGGTGTAAACTATATAACAAATATCAAATCATTTTCTTCAAGCATGACGAAAAAAAAGTGTGGAAAACTGATTATTTTTCATGAATTATTTAAGTCTGTGGACATAACTCTGCAAAATAATCATCTGAACCAAACAAAATTCGAACTTGATCTATTACTTGTCATAGTGATACTATACACCAAATATAAAATCAATATCTTCAAAAATAACATAAAAAAGTATGGAAAACTGATTATTTCCATAATTTTCCAAGTCCAAGAAACATTACCATGATTACTCTGCACAAAATCATCAGACCGGAAAAAATTCGAACATGATCTGTAACTTTTCATGGTTAATCTACATTCAATATATAAAATCAATATCTTCAAGCATGACGAAAACTAAAGTTAGAGAAGGGAAACCATTTGTAAAGGGGCATAACTCTAGAACGGTTAGAGTAACGCCACCAAAATTCAAACTTGATCTGTATTTTGTGGTAATAAGCATTGTGTATAAGTTTCAAAACATTTGGTTGAGGCTTACTTAAGTTAGAGAACGGAAACAAAAAATTCAGTAATTTTTCCATTTGTAAAGGGGCATAACTCTATAACGGTTAAAGTGACGCCACCAATATTCAAACTTCATCTGTGTTTTGTGGTAATAAGCATTGTGTATAAGTTTCATAACATTTGATTGAGGCAAACTAAAGTTAGAGAAGGGAAACCAACTTTGGGACGTACGTACGGACCTACAGACTGACAAGGGTAAAACTTAATGCCCCCTCCGATACGGCGGGGACATAAGAAGTGTGGAAAACTGATTACTTGTGTGAATTTTCGAAGTTCAAAGACCATAACTCTGCACAAAATCCTTAGACCAAAACAAAATTCAGACTTGATCTGGTTATGATAAACCTATATATACTAAATATCAAATCAATATATTCAAGCACGAAGAAAAAAAGTGTGGAAAACTGATTTGCAGGACTGACGGATGGACAGACAACCGACGGACGGAGTGCAATCCTAAAGTCCCCTTCAATTTTGTCTGTAGGGGACTAAAAAAAAGAATAAAACTGAAATTGCATTCTAATTTTTTGGTAGGGTTAACAAATGAATATGAAAAGGATGACATAATGCCAAACAAACAATTTTTTTTACAGTAATTTAAAGTTCAGGAAAATGCACGAGTTCAAAAGTCATCTATGTGGTTTTGTTATCTGATTTATGTTGTTGGTAAACCTTTAATAGTCTAGTTCACAGCTTTATTTTGGACTATATGTTGACCTCTAAATGTCTTTCTGATGAATTTCAAATTCTTTTTTTTTTTATTCCTGATGAATGTGTTGAAATGAATGAAATAAATAAAATAAAATAAATTTTAAAGACTCATGACAATACAATCACCAAAAAAGTTTCCCTGGAGTTTCCATGAACATAAATTCAATACTGTTTAATATCATAGAATTGAGTTAAACGTTTTTTCTCAATCATTAATTTTACTTGATGCATTCCATTGTCCCAAGTTTGGAACTCATTCATATGTAACATGAACAGTGAATGCATTTTATCAAGCTTTCTCACCTGTAGCAGTGGAAGTAGAATTAGAGTCTTGCTCCTCTGCATCTACTTTCCAATGGTCAAGGTCAACTTCTATATTCAGACGTGACAATTCTCCTTTTAAAGAAGCCAATCTTTCCTGAAGAAATATCTTTTCTTTTGCCAGACGCTGCATTTCAAATTCATATTCCTTCTCTTTTCTCCTCAAAGCCTAAAAAGGTTAAGCTCTTTTATCATAATTAGAAATAAATGGGGACTGTGTCGATGCCCCCGCTTGCATATAATGTTTTAAAGGGACATAAGTCAAGAACGGTAAAAGTGACGCTACCCAAATTCGTATTTGATCTAAGTTTTGTGGTAATACCCATTGTGTATAAGATTCATAACATTTGGTTGAGGCAAACTTAAGTTAGTGAACGGAAAAAAAAATTCAGCAATTTTTCCATTTGTAAAGGGCATAACTCTAAAATGGTAAAAGTAATGCCACCAAAATTCAAATTCGATCTGTGTTTTGTGGTAGTAAGCATTGTGTATAAGATTCATAACATATGGTTGAGGCAAACTTAAGTAAGAGAATGGAAACGAAAATTCACCAATTTTTCCATTTGTATAGGGGCATAACTCTAGAACGGTAAAAGTGACGCCACCTCAATTAAAACTTTATCTGTGTTTTGTGGTAATAAGCATTGTGTATAAGTTTCATAACATTTGGTTGAGGCAAACTTAAGTTAGACATGTTAGAGAACAGAAACGAAATATTCAGCAATTTTTCCATTTGTAAAGGAGGATAACTCTTGAAAGGTAAGAGTGATGCCACCCAAATTCAATCTTGATCTATATTTTGTGGTAATAAGCATTGTGTACAAGTTTCGTAACATTTGGTTGAGGCAAACTAAAGATAGAGAACGGAAACCAATTTTAAGACGTACAGACGGACAAGGTTAAAACTTAATGCCCCCTCTGCTATGGCGGGGGCATAAAAAAATCATTAAATAAATCTGACCCATCATCATCATCAGCCCTGTTTTCTTCTTATTAGTAAAGATTATGTTATACTTAATTACAAGTGATTTTCTAAACCTTTTATTTTTTAGAAAATTACTATTCAGTACATACAAAAATTCACTTGGGTTAAAACAAGCATTCTAATAGTATTGCATGGCAATACATGGTCCCCTTCTGGTTAAAAATTCATTGTACAGGAACAAAATGCTAACATGATCTATAACTTGACATAGTGTAAACTATATAACAAATATCAAATTAAATTCTTCATGCATGATGGAAAAAAGTGTGGAAAACTGATTATTTGTGTGAATTTTCTAAGTTTGAGGACCATAACTCTGCAAAATAATCATCCGAACCAAACAAAATTCAATCTTGATCTGTAACTTGTCATGGTAAAACTTTATATCAAATATTAAATCAATATCTTCAAGCATATTAAAAAAAGTGTGTAAAACTGATTATTTGCATGAATTTTATAAGTCCAAGGAACATTACTCTGCACAAAATCATCAGACCAGAACAAAATTCAAACTTGATCTGTCATGGTCAAACTATATACCAAATATCAAATCAATATCTTTAAGCACGAAGAAAAAAAAGTGTGGAAAACTGATTTGCCAGACTGATGGATGGATATACAGACGTCTGAATGCAAACCTATAGTCCCCTTCAACTTCGTTGGTCGAGACTAACAAGGAGCAGCCATATCTGCCACTTTAACCAAAGGTTTCAATTTTTCTAACCTCAAATTAAAGAGTAATATTCACTTTCCAAACATCAAAAGGGAGAGATTTCCCTTCTATGCCCTCTGAGATTTTCTTGAATCAGTCATGTACATGTTTGCACTTTTTCTCTCAAAAAAAGTTTGAGCTTACACTTTGTATAAGGACTGTTGATTAGTTGTATGACTAAATGTGTAACCCTCCTAAAACAAAGGATTGTTGTGGTTTTTGTTATTTTTCTTTAATTAATTATAACCTTGACCTTTTGTAGTTAAATCAGTGGGGTTTATAAATTTTAACAGGATAAAAGATATAATAGAATAGCGGAGGTAATTAAAAGCATTTGATCATCAGCAGGGGAACTTTCATTTTTCTATAAAAAAAAAAAAAAGTATGTTGAGGTCATGAGATCTGAATATTGTTGTGTGATTCACAGTGGGACATGGACTTTGAGTGACAATATTTTGATTCATAAATCTTTGTGCATATTTCTTTTGGATTTATAGCCAACAGAGTCAGAATACAGCAACACAGTACAATAACCAGCAGTTTAACATGCCTCTGAGTTTATTTCTATTGTTTATTTGGTATAAATAACATGAATAAGGTAGAGGGAAAAGATTTTTTTGTATAGGCACATTTTATTTTACTAAAGAAATGTTTAATACTGTAAAATGTTTTATTTTCCTGGAGTTTAAATTTCAAGATTTCTAGGACCAAACCCGTCTGAGAGGTTTTACCTTTTATGTCTCTGATTTTGATCTCCTAAACATGATCAAAGATACATCAAGCCACTAATCTTTTTTAAATGTGAAATTAGTGAGAGAAAAAAATACAATTGTCTGAATTTCTGACTTAAATTATCTCCCTTTTTACCTGGATATAACGAAGGGAGCCTCTCAAAATACCAAGATTGGATGTCCGCTTGTCTTCTAATGTTGGAATCTGCTTTTTCAAGTAATCAAAACATTCTTTCAAATGAGCTCTCCTGTAAAAGTATAATTTATCAAACACAATTTTTCTTAACCTGTAATTACTTCAAATTCATTAAATAATTTTTGTTTTTTAATTGTTAAGTGCCAGTCACATACAAATGAAATAACAATGAATTCTGTTCATGGATGCAAGTATGGCTTTATGTATAAACTGCCAGGTGGTCTTATTCTAGTCTTGAGTATTGCAGGTTGGTGAGGTTATAGATCTTTTCTACAACTTAACTTTACAACTAATGTTGCTTCTTCTCCCCTTATAACCCAACAACTAAAAGTAATACCAAAGATGAGAGACAGTATGAGTCAGAATATATTGTTTCTGGTCATATGATTTTTGTGCTTTTTGCTGTGCATGTACTGATTTTGTGTCATGGATGGATAGCCCATTTCTTTTCTTTTCTATTGTCTGGACGGTGCGACATGTTTTCCTACAATCCGCTGGTGTGAACAAACATGTTAAAAGTCTGATTCAGCTATCCTATTACATATGGTCAGTTGTGATGGTTTTATTCTAAACAGGGCTCTTATTAATATATAACTTTATTTTAATATAACTTTATGATTTAAACGAGAGGCTCTGAAGTGCCTGAATCGCTCACCTGTATTTTTTGCTTAAATCTTTCATCAATGATTATTTTTGCTTTTCAATATATATTAATGAATGGCTTACAACTTCCATTGAAATGTTCTTAGTATCTGTCATATTTTCTTCAAAATCAAAGAAATGCATTTTAACCCTATGTTTCATTTTAGCCATAGTGGCTATGTTTCCTGACGTACAAGAAAATAAAATACAAAATTTATACTAGATACTCTGAAACTCATTCAGCCCAAGTTTGGCTGAAATTGATTCAGCAGTTTCAAAGGAGAAGATTTTTTAAAGTAAGCAAATAAATGAACAAATTGTGAAAAATTGATTTTAAAGGGCAATAACTCCTTAAGGGGACAATTGACAATTTTGGTCATACGAACATATTTGTAGATCTTACTTTGCTGAACATTTTTGCTGTTTATAGTTTATCTTTATCATTAATAATATTCAAGATAATAACCAAAATCTGCAAAATTTCCTTAAAATTACCAATTAAGTGGCAGCAATCCAACAATGGGTTGTTAGATTCATCTGAAAATTTCAGCAAAAATTGCATTTTACCCCTACGTTCTATTTATAGCCGTGGCGGCCATGTTTTTCTTAGAAACAGAAAATAAAACACAAACTTTATTCTAGATACCCTTAGAATCATTCAGCTTAAGTTTGGTTGGAATTAGTTTAGTGGTTTCAGAGAAGAAGATTTTTTAAAGTTAGATAACATGATAAACAAATTGTGTAAAATTGTCCTTAAAGGGCAATAACTCCTTAAGGGGTCAATTGACAATTTTGATCATATGAACTTATTTGTAGATCTTATCTTGCTGAACATTTTTGCTGTTCACAGTTTATCATTATCATTAATAATATTCAAGATAATAACCAATAAAATGCTCCGCTGGGGCGCAGCTTGATACGACCACAGAGGTCGAACTCTGAACAATTGGGGCAAGTATGGACACAACATTCAAGCTTGATACAGCACTGAATTTGGATTGTAATTAAATATTTGACACAGCATAGGTTTCTGACACAGAATGAATGTGGTCTAAGAACTTAAATTTTTTTTAATTTACCTATTCAAACCAAGGCTTCCAAAACGGTCATATATTCCGGACATTTGTATAATGTCCGGTAAAAGTCCGGCTGGGCAAAGCACGAAACGGTCATCTACTTTTTATTTTTCAAGGCTTTCTTAAGAGACGGTCATTTTAACATAATTCGCGATCTTTTTGACCCAACCTTTTGCCTTTAACAGCCACACATTTCCGGTCATAAAAGTGACATGATCATTAAGTACTATCAAAACAACCCCTACTTTAATACCTTCTCATTTTAATCAAGGCTAATTAGTTGTCGAACAGCTGAGTTTTACCTGATCAGGTGACAGGTAAACTATTTTGAACCGGACATAATTGATCGGTCTATTCAAAGTTATTTTCTTACATTTCACCGGTTTGCATCTAATTAATTTAGTCTAAAAGATTTAAATTCAGAAATACATTTACAAATAAGATTTGATGAAAAAATTAAAGAGGTGAAAATGAAAAAACGTTGTTTGCACCAGAGAAATGTCTCTGTTAGAACTAGTACATGTATGCGCATGTGCATGTGCGCAGGTGTGAAATTTAATTATGCATCCTTATTTCTTAAAAAAAATGCTTAAATTGTCATTGATACCTTTATCTCACGTTTATTTCGAATATTTTCTTGAAGAAATAACGTAGAATGAGCTACTTACACTCATTCATGCTTTGCAAAGGTACACGGAATTTACGTATCCGTCTCTGGTCCATGTTTTACCATTGTCAAGGTAACATCCGGTTTCAGATTTAAAAATGAAAGTAAAGTTTTTGACAACGTTTGCACAAATAAAGAGTCTAAGGCAGATATAAGTACGCTGATGTTGCACACTTCGGATGATGCACTGCCAATTTAACAGTTTACGTCAGAACTTCGAATTTGAATCAAAGAAAGTTTAATATCATTTTTTTTAATAAATATCATTATCAATCATATGGATGGCCAACTCGGCAACTGATTACCATAATTGCCTTTTGTTTATTTAGTCTTAAGGGATTAAAATCGGGATAATATATAAAATGTCCGGCTGGCTAAAAATAATTTTGGAAGCCCTGATTCAAACCATATCATTATTATTTGCTTTTATATATAAATCAGAAATAACCAATTTAAAATGGAAAATTTTAAAGAAAAAAAATGAAAATAAAATTCCCCCCCAAATTTTTTGAACCCCCTTATGATTCATCACCCCCAAACTCAATCCCAGCCTTCCCTTTGTGGTATGGTACCTTGCAGTACAATTTCAGAGAGATCCATACACTTGAACACAAGTAATGGTCTGGAAACTAGAAAAATGCTTGTTTTTTGGTCCCAAATTCCTAAACGTTTAGGGCAATTACCCCCAAACTCAAACCCAGCTTTCCCTTTGTGATATGGAACCTTGTAGTACAATTTCATAAAGATCAATACACTTACACACAAGTTATTGTCATGAAACTAGAAAAATGCTTGTTTTTTGCCCCTTTTTGGCCCCTAATTACTAAAATTTTGAGGCAATTACCCCCAAAATCTATCCCAGCATTTCCTTTGTGATATGGAACCTTGTGGTACAATGTCAGAGAGATCAATACACTTACACACAAGTTATTGTCATGAAACTAGAAAAATGCTCGTTTTTTTTGCCCCTTTTTGGTCCCTAATTTCTAAAATTTGGAAGCAATTACCCCCAAAATTGATCCCAGCATTCCCTTTGTAATATGGAACCTTGTGGTACAATGTCAGAGAGATCCATACACTAACAAACAAGTTATGTCTGGAAGTTACAAAAATGCTTATTTTTGGCCCCCAATTCCTTAACTGTTGGTACCATAACCCCCAAAATCAATCCCCACCTTCCTTTTGTGGTATTGAACTTTATGGTAAAATTTCATAGAGATCCATTCACTTAAACTAAAGTTAGAGTGCGAAAACCAATGTGTCTTCGATGACGACGACGACGACAACGTCATACCAATATACGACCGCAAAATTTTTCTGCAGTCGTATAAAAACTGCAAAATTTCCTTAAAATTACCAATTTATTGGCAGCAACCTAACAATGGGTTATCAGATTCAACTGAAAATTTCAGGGCTGATATAACTTGACCTTGTGAACACTTTAACCCCACGTCAGATTTGCTCTAAATGCTAGGTTTTGAGATATAAGCCAAAATCTGCATTTTACCCCTATGTTCTATTTTTAGCCATGGCGCCCATGTTATTTGACGAAAAAGTGAATAAAACACAAACTTTAATCTAGATACCCTAAGCATCATTCAGCTTAAGTTTGGTTGGAATTAGTTCATTAGTTTCAGAGGAGAAGATGTTTGAAATAGTTTACACCAGACGGACGTCGATGGACACCAAGTGATGGCAAAAGCTCACCGTTCCTTCGGAACGGTGAGCTAAAAAGTGAAGAGTTCCAATAGGACGATTAAACCACTGAAATAGTCTTTTATCCTGAACATATCTCAAATATTTGCCACTGGATGTTAAGCAAACATACTTGTTATTTTCAGATGCATGAAATATTGCTAAGTTTTTTTTACAATTAAAATTCCATAACTCTGAAATAAAAAATAAAGTGAATCTAGTTCAATCATTTTCAGACCCTATAGATATATATGTCCCTGTAATTTTGCAATGTTATATGTACACATAAAATATTTTACAGAAGATGTGTAGAATGTTAAGATCAGTGTCAAGATGATACTTAGAATATTGAAGTGATAAACCACAAAAAGATTCTGACAACACCCTTTGGAATTGTAATGTTTAAAACATGTAAAACTAGATATCATTGAGATGGGAGCCATCTCTGTGGGCCCTGCTGTAAATATTGTGTGGTAAAATTTTGTATCTTTACCATAGGACATGGGGTTGTCAACTGAAACCAAAGTTTTCGACCTTAAACTTTGACCTACGAAGTTGTACATAAATTATGACACACCCTCTGGTGTTGGTTTATATACATGTCTAGTATAAACTTTGAAATCATAACGGTTCTCAAGATATAGAGCAGACATGATCTTTACCATAGGACATGGGGTTGTCAACTGAAACCAAAGTTTTTGACCTTGACCTTTGACCTAGGAATTTGTACATACATTATGACACACCCTCTGGTGATGGTTAATATACATGTCAAGTAAAAAACTTTGAAATCATAACGGTTCTCTAGATATAGAGTGGACACAATTTGTTACAGACGGACGGACAGACTGATCACTATAGGGTGTCCGCCATTCGGCAGGGCCCTAATCAATGAACTTTTATCAAGCAGCATTTGGTCATCATGGTCATAAGAAGTTGAAAACTTTTTTTTTAAAGTAATTTAGCTGTGTTAAAACTTGAAACAATGGTATTTGAACTGAAATCAAATATTTCCGTAGATTTATTTGTTTACCTGTTTTTCTCCAATTTGTTGTGAACTTCTCTTGTACCAGCCCTAAAATAGAAGAAAAGATGAGTTATAATATGCAACAAGGATAGAATTGGACTGTAATAAGCGATTAGTTAACGAAACCACATTGAACTTTATTTTAAAATGTGTTTTTCATTTGTCAATGATTTAACATGCAAACAACTCTATTTAAAATATTTTAAATTCTTCTAATTACATCATATTGCTTAAAAAGTAATCACTCTGATCACATGGTCAAATACAGTTAATTTTGACTGATCCCTTGAGCTAGGAAAAAATCAAAATTTACACATTTGATTATTTTGGAACTGCAATGAACAAGTTGAATAGAAAGCTATTTGATCACTTTTGATACTCCACTATTAGAAAATTAAAGTATAATTGTACATGTATTTGGTAAACAGGAAAATGATGAGTGATGGATGTACAAAAACATCACCTGGTATCGCATGCTCACATGAAGGTTCATTCTAAATTTTAGAAAGCCATGATTTGTAGTTCCAGAGAAAAAATTTAAATGTGACTAAAATTTTACACATGTCAATTTTTGTGTAAGAATATACAAGTATTCCTTTATCAGGAAGCCAATGAGCAATGAATTGGAAAATGAATCACAAGGTTAAGCACGCTCACATGAATCTTCAATTAAAATTGAATGAAGGTCTGACATATGTAAAGTTATTGAGAAAAGTGTAACCAAAATTTACAGGACAGTCGAACATAACCAGTAACATACAGTAAGCGGACAGAAAGTCAAAATTTAATAGGACAAAAAGTCATAAATTTAATAGGACAAAAAGTCACAAATAATTTGCTTATAATTGTTTGAATTTGAATAAAACAGAGAGAGTTCTTGAAATAATTACTTTTTATTAATTTTACAGTTCAGGAAAATGTTCATCATGTTCATAAGCCTTGAAATTATGAAGATTTATCAAATTGTAATATTGCAAAGGATATTATTCTTGGCACCATGAAGCCATGTTAGTACCAAGCCACTTTGACAAATTATTTTCTTAACCATTATTTGTTCATTATTGATTTTTTTTAGAATAATTTCTGTGTACAAAGTTGTTTTTCTATAAAATATTTTAAAAAAACACAACAATTATTTTTAAATAATGAGTGATTTCTTATTCAAAGAAAAATAATATCAAAACCGAATTGTGACTTTTTGTCCTAGCTGTGACTTTCTGTCCTACATTCTAACATGGATAATATTCCACCCCTCTTTTTCGGGCAGGGGTATAAATAATTACCATTCCATAATTCATAAATTTAATTAGTATGTGCAAATAATGATAAATTGTCATTCCCATGTCTTTAACATAAAAATCAACTTAAAAAACACATAACTTCATTTTGAACTTCATTGAGCTGTGACAATTATACCACTTGATGAGGGTGGTAAAGGGCTATTTTCGTGCAATGTGTTTTGCCATTTTTATTTCATGTGCAGCCGTGAAAAAGGTTTGTTATTCACCGTGTTTCGTGAAATCGGTTAAAAGATCAACGTGCAAGAAATTTTTAATTGTTCGTTCATCGTGTAATGGCAATTTTATTTCGTGTTCTTCCGTGCAGATACCCCCCTTTACGCCCCTCCTTGATGCCATGATGGAACATTAAAATTCTTAATGAAAGGCATATGCCAAAGTATGTATTGTGAAGCTTCCATCATAAAAACATACTACAAAACTAACTTAGTCATTAAATGGCAACTGTAATGCACTCATGTTTACTTCATCTTAAAAAATATTAAAAAATGTATATAAAACGATTATTTATCTATCTTCCCGTTGTGGAGTGGACTCATCTTGAGTGTAGAAACTCCATCGTACATTAAAATTTATAAGTGCAGATTTTGTAACAAATTTCAGTTTTTCGTTTCTTTTTTATTGTTAAATGAAAGATTTAATGCACTGAATAATCGTCTATTATTTTGTTTGTAAACAATGAATAGCACGTGTGTTCAAGGTCGATCAGACCGACAATAGTATGTGTGTGCAAATTACACATGTCAAAATATGTCACGTGAACAGACCCTCCGGCTCGCCTCTTTTCTCTTTCATCTCCGTCTGCATACTTTCCAGAGTTGCTGGATTCAGGAGAATCGTCAGAATCATTGCCAACTCGTGATGAATATCCGTGTGGATCCTCAGAGGTACTATCACCTTCAAAAAAGAAAAAAATCGAAGTGTCGACTGATCATGCTTATAAATATATGCAAATTAGGTAGCGACCAGGAACCGTCAAAAATTCAAGATGGATATCTTCCCTATAACACAAAAATTGAAGCGTAGATTATCTATCCCATGACTGAATATTGCACATACTTTAATAAAATTGTGAGTTCAAACGACAAATTGTAGTTTTCATGATCTTATAAGGCAATTTCTGCTGCCATGTGCTTTGCTTACCACGTGTTTTTGGCTTGTTACGCCATTCTAGATATTCCGCAGCTTCCAACAAAGTTTCCAAACTCATCGCCAGAACCGAAGCCCTCTTCTGTAGATGTCATTAAATGTTTATCATCCGAAATACTCAAATATCCATGAGGACACACTATGTGTCCCCAAATATTTGATTGAATTTTTACAAATATTAAAAGAACATGGCGGGCGGCGGTACCAAAACACTTGCTGCCGTGCAAAATATTACAACACCACGTGGAATTTGATTGGCATCTGTCATCCTGGTCCAATGAAATTTTAGCATTTTGACGTCATACACAAACTTCAGAATCACATGTTTTGTTTTGGCTGTTCCATTTATCAAGTTCAACATGTAGATTCACCTTTTCTAGACTTATCTTTTAATTTTTATTGTGGAATTACTTTTGACGATATTCCATTAATGTTTTTTTATTCATATTATAGCATTATGTTTAAAATTATTGCAAAGTTTTAACATACTATGATAGCATTTCCACGTTTACTTTAGAAGTGGGCGGTTCCCCTTGGTGATTATAGAAGCCATGTGGAATAGAAATCACGTGATATATTACCTTTCAAAATGGGTTCCGGAAGTTGTGACGTTTGATGCACCAGATTTGACAACATTTTTGACAAGTTGTTGCTGCTGAATGTGGAGATATAATGTCGTGAATTTACAGTCGAATATAAACTGTAATATATTTGGTAAATCTTAAATGAGTTATTATTGACTCTTGTCTATGCATTTTAGTCTATCAGTGGAAGAATATTGTGGCCACTCATCTCATGCATGCCTTAGAACCATAAATAATTTAAAATAGAAGCACGAATTATTTCATCAGGATTCCAGGTCAAATATTTAATGCTTTGATCTGGTATGTCAGAACTACGGAACAATACCCAATGTTAATTTTCGGACAAGAAGTCAGCACATAACTATTTAAAATTTGGGCAGCAAAAATTATATGTCACACTTGAAGCCTGGCAAAGGGACATTCAAACTCATGAGTCGAAAATAAACTAACAACGCCATGGCTAAAAAAGAATAAGACAGACAAAGAAAAGTTCAAAAACAACATAGAAAACCAAAAACTGAGCAACACAAACCCCACCGAAAACTGGGGGATGATCTCGGATGCTCGGAAGGAAAAGTCATTTAAATGCCTTGATGGTCCTTCCACAGGAATCGGAAATCCTATCAATTAAATTCTGTAAATAATAAAGTCAACTATCAGTAGAGCTTCTCATATACGAGAAGCTCTACTGATAGTCGACTTTATACATGTATATCTACGAGAAACTCTACTAATCATGCTGATAGTCTACTTTATTATTTACAGAATTTTATTGATAGAATTTCCGATTCCTGTGGTCCTTCTGAAATGAATATATAGATTTCCTTTTTTTACATCAGGGTTTTGTGAATTAATAAAGTAATAGTAACCAAAAAAAAATTCATGCGTAGCTAAGTACTTACACTAATCAATGGGAAGAGGGATGCTATTAAAAACTTGTATTAATGCAAACTCTGCCCATTGTCAGCTTGTACCATGCCTGCTTATATTATTCACAATTGTACCTCTGGCTCTGCATATTAAAGATGAAATAAAGTGGGAAAAATGTGCAATACTTCAGTTCCAAGATAGTCCCTTTTACTGTGTCTGATTTCATTTTACACACAAAAGTCATGTGATATCTCAGAAATATATATATATACATGTATGCGGTGATCAGGTGATAGGAATATCATAAGATCACAAGAAGAGCGTCTGCATGAAAACGTCAACAAATTTGCTATTTCAGCCTACTGTTGGTTGTCAGCAGGCTGAGGGGGTCAAACTGGAACAGTGTGGTAGTCTTTTTTAAGTGGGAATCTTTTTAAATCATTACATTTGCTTATTTCGCCTGTGTAAATAACTAGAAAAATGTCACATGATACGACTTTTTCAATCTCCACATTGACACAACAACTATCCAGGATATCGTTTTTATGAATTGTGTTTATAAACAGATCTGATAAAGGTTCATCAGAAGGAATTGACAAATATGGCCATGGTTACACTACAAAATTTACAAGCACAGACATTAAAATAAGACCTCTTCCTCACCTAGTGAAATCAGCATCCTGTATACATGATATTGTCGATTTTGTACCTAGTCAAATCTGCACCTATTTAATTTGATACCTTTAACATACTCAATAGTTATTTCAGCACCCATGGTTAACATGATGCTTTACAAATTATATATTATGCTTTTTCAATTTTTTATCTATTTTTCACTCATTCCCAGTTACACAGTTATAATTAGGGGGTCTCTCAAGGGGAAATTTGCTCTTTTTTGTTCCAAACATCACTGACGCATTTAAGATTTATGACATCTTTTCCAACCCTTTTTTTTTAAATTTTAAATGCAATCAAACAGCTTCCAGAATGTCGGTTGATTAATATGCTTATTATAACTGTAAAAATAATAAACATAAACCATTTAACAAGGTGTGAAAATTTAATCACATGATTAAATCAACTGATTAATCTTTTTATTACACAATGTTACATCCAGGAATTTATTATTTTAAGGTGTGAAAATTTAATTGCATATGATTAACATGATTAAATCAGTTGGTTAATTTTTTATTAATTCCAGAAATTGTTTTTATATTGATAAATGACAAAAAATACACTAGTTGCATTACAATGAAATTTGAAAAAAAAACTTTAGAACTACACATAAAAATTACTATTCCACCACAAAATTATAGGTTTCATTATATAAATATTCAAACATAAAATTAACATATAATTTACAGGAGAGCATTTTATATATATTTAGGTAACTGCTATTATAGCACATATTTGATAAAAATTAAATAGGTAAAATAGTTAGCAATTTTTATGCCACACCTTCGATAGTAGAGAGGCATTATGTTTTTCGGTCTGTGCGTCTGTTTGTCTGTCTTTCCCGCTTCAGGTTAAAGTTTTTGTTTCAAGGTAGTTTTTGATGAAGTTGAAGTCCAATCAACTTTAAACTTAGTACACATGTTCCCTATGATATGATCTTTCTAATTTGAATGCCAAATTACAGTTTTTACCCCAAATTCACGGTTCACTGAACATAGAAAATGATAGTGCGAGTGGGGCATCCGTGTACTATGGACACATTCTTGTTCATTAAATGAAATGAGTTTTGAGAAATTCTGCATTGATTTAAAATCAATACCGGTACTGTAAATTCAGAAATTATTGCATGCATTTATTGTTGCAATTTTTTGAAGAATAAACAAAAATGTGAGTTCAATTATCACTATCAGATATCAGAATTGGAGATCTTATTATTGCGATACTCAAGGAGTCACATTATTTGCATAAATAAAAACCTTGCAATAGTTTCTGAAATTACAGTAACTTGCAGATTCAGTGCAACCAAACTGAACACCTTTTACACTTTAGTACCTCATGTCGTGGTATAACTTCTGTGTAACAAAATATATACCTGTTGTCTGACATTGCAATAGTCATGATAGTGATACAAACACAAAGTTTTTCATTTTATTGCTTCTAATTTTCTCATGATTAAACAACAGCTTAAACAGGGTAATGGCTTCATTGTTTTTAATTTAAAGTTTTTCAAAAATAGAATATCAAAAATTAACTTAGATGTGTCAGTTGATAGTTTTAATTGATATAATTTGTAAATAAAGTACATGTATTTAAAATGAAAACAGATCATAACATTATTGAATATTGAGAAAACTTTGAACAACAAAGCAATTTTTCTAATTGTTGAATTGCTTGTGATGATTTCTAACAAACTTGTCCCCTCTTCCCCCAAAAAAGACGAGAAAACATGTACAGAATAATGGTAAATATATTATGATAGGTACAGACGTGACTAACCAAATGCTGAAACGATTTTAATGAGGTGCTTATTTTTAAACGCATTGTATCATACTTTAATTTTTAATGAAAAGTAATGGGTCGTGTTTTTAAAACCCACTATTATCCAAGTGAGAGGATGCTTCTTGTTAACATTTTCCTAATTCTTCCCTTTACATGATATACAACATATTTTCCAGTAATTTGTTTTTATCATTCTATTCATCTGTTATGGCATATACAGCAGTATAAATAGAAACCTTGTACACAATGCATTCAGCAACTTCACAATTTTTGTGTACAGGTAACATTTCCTGCTTGTAAACATTGATACATCATTGTGTTAAATGATAAAAGGCATCATAATTCAGTGAAACATAGCCTTAAAACTCTGATCAAGGTATTATTTCCTAACAGTGGTGCTAAACAAGAAGTGAATATTTGAAGGAAATTTAGTGCTTTACGTGCTGATAATGTGTATGATTTTAAACTGTAACAAAAACAAGATTGACTGTTGTATAATATCAATGAATATACTTAAGGTCATTTATGACTACTGGTTACTGATACATGTGATATATTATACAAATTTTTAGAATGATAGGAAGGAAGTATCGTACAAAGGTTAAAGGGTAGTTTTCCATTGATGTAATTTGAGATGGAGTTATTTCCCTTTGTCCCTATGTTGGAGGTCAAACTGGTCAATGTTGGTAATTTTCTTATTTGAGAATGACTTACTGAATTTAAACATGTATGTATTGAGCAACTCTAAAACTCTAACTTGATCTTATTGATGTAATACACATTTACAAGGTTATAGATATATAAAAAATCTTGCGGTCAGTACAACAATTTGAAATTTGTTGGTTTCTTAAGGAATTCTGCACATTGAACTCCACAATGGCAGCAAAAGAAAATAACTCCTTCCAATTATATCAATAGAAAACCTATCTATATGATAATATGTACATGTATACAAGTGACATGATGTAGATTAATATAGAATAAAGAAGGGGTTAACATCATGAACATGGTATATCAATCAAAATGAAACATGTTTCTGACTTACATAAGTAAACTTTTATACATGCATTAACAAATTTGACGAAATTAAATTTACAAAGTGACAGCAGTCTTAACAAATATCAGTTTAAATTACTCACCAGATAATCAGTTGATTTGAAAAAAATCAGAAAATAAATAGAATACAAGCAACAAAATGTCATCAACGTTGATTATTTTATTATTTTTTAGTTTTCACAAAGGTTGTTCAAATACAAATACATCTGTTTCGTCGTGAGCCAAGGCTCTATGTTGAAGGCCTTACTTTGACCTATTATTGTTTACTTTTTACAAATTGTGACTTGGATGGATAGTTGTCTCATTGGCACTCATACCACATCTTCTTATTTATATGCTATATGTAGCATACATGTTTAATTTTCCATGTCAGTGTCATTACTGTGAATTCATTATTATACAAGGGATATCAATTTTCGTTGGATTTCATGGGTATAGATGAGAACCACTAACAATGACTAATACATTTATCAATGTTCAGTGAAGTATAAATTTTCTATCTAAAGGCTAATTTACGGACGCCATCACGAGTTGGTTGACCGTTATGGAATAACCATTTCACAGATGATATCGGATATGTTCCTTATGTTGTAACTACAATACCCTCCCTTTTCACGAATGTGACTTACCGAATTAGACTATTTACCGGATTTGTAATAACATAAGCAACTCGACGGGTGCCACATGTGGAGCAGGATCTGCTTACCCTTCCGTAGCACCTGAGATCACCCCCAGTTTTTGGTGGGGTTCGTGTTGCTTAGTCTTTAGTTTTCTATGTTGTGTCATCTGTACTATTATTTGTCTGTTTTTCTTTTTATTTTTGGCCATGACGTTGTCAGTTTGTTTTCGATCTATGAGTTTGACTGTCCCTCTGGTATCTTTCGTCCCTCCTTTGCCAACTTTGGCAACACTTCATTTTTTTTAAATCAAATATATCTCGTGTATCTACGAAAATAATTTTTTCCTCCATCAACCAAACTGGTACTGACCAAACTAAATGAATCCTCAGTATGTGTCTGTATTTAATGACCAAGATTTTGTTTCTTGATATTTCACCCACTAAACTGGTACCCACCAAAATAAATGATTCCTCAGTATATGCTTGTTTTTAGTGACCAAGAATTTGTTACTTGATATTTAATTATCCCTTTTGTTTTCAGATTTAATTGGCTGACAACATGACATTATGGGAGAACCTGAAAGGTTTTGCCAGCAGCCGTCCTCCACTGGTTATGTTCATGGTCTGTCTGGGAGCATTTGCCATAGCTTTGATTTCACTGTCTTATTATTTCAAATCTAATGACATCTACAATCCAGATTTAACAGAGGTGAGTACAATAAACAAGTGGAAAGTTTTTAGGGAAGATCACTTGGAGCACAATTTGTCTATAAATATAGGGTCTCTGCTGAATAGTTGTCTCATTGGCAATCATACTCCATCTCCTCCATTTTCATTATTTTGATAGGAGGGAATGTAATTGGGAAAAGATCTTTTGGATTATACTTTGTCCCAAAATATTGTATGGTATGTTTGACACAAATGTTTGAAAGCATAAAAAAGAAGAAAGAATATTAGATTTCAGTTTCAGTAGAATATTTTTTTTTCATTTGCTGAAATAACTGTTATTGAACTGTGAACAGTACATTATAAATATATTACTGTGTTCAAGCTAAGATTAAATAAAAATGATCCAGAAAACCAAAATACATATGGTAGGGCTGTAAGACAGAGAGAGCAGGGGACCTACCTTCCATTTTGATGATGATGATGATGATGATGATGGCTGCTTAACATCCAGCGGCAAATTAATATTCATATTTAGGACGAGAACATGTTAATGTAATATGAATATTAAACCTGCCTTGTACTAGACCAACATGCTGAGTTGGATTTTGAACGTGCTAGTTCACAAGGTAACAGTCTGCAGGAAGACATGTCACTTTACCCAGACACATTATTCTGACTACGAGCCAACCAGTCTTTGCTCTTACTCCTTAATGCTGCATCCTTTTATTGTCTTAGTGGAGAAGCAGCAAATACCAATTTTTGAAAGTCTTTGGTTTGTTTCGGCTGGGGTTCGATTGCACCTCCTCCCACACTCGAGGTGAACATGCTACCATGAGACCACCAAAGCGGTTCCTTCCATTCTGAGTCAGCTAGGCGATATATAGGTACACTATTGCAAAAAATTATTTTCTTTGAAAAAGAAAGCTGCACTAGGAGACATTGTTGATTTTGACGATTTTTTTTTTTCAGGAATGGCAGGCATTTTTGGAGAACTTTGCTGAAGTTGACTTTTGTATTACAAATAATGATTCAGATATACAGATGGGAGATTTTGAACCTCCATTGAGATTGCACCATATATACTCAAAGATCAGACCAACGTCACATTTCTTAAGACCTTCAAATGACGAAATAGTGTAAGACAAGTTTGTCTGTCATCATGGACATAGAAATAAACAGTCTGCAAATTAGGAAATAAAAAAAAGTCTTCATCAGAAAAAACTAACAATTACTTACTCTTCAAAATTTAATGTATGGATGGGAGCAAGTATTTGTTTTTAAAACTGTCTAATTTATAAATAACGTGTTTTGGATATTGACTTAATTGAGACAAAAGAAATAAAATAAGAGTTACTGTAATTTCAAAAATATTCGCTATGGTTTCAATGAAGTGAAAATTCAGGGTAACTATCATATTAGAACTATACAATTATTTGTATACAGCTTAATGACATCAATTACATGAATTAATCTTACAGTTTTTGTCTCGCCTGCTACGAAAGTCCCGGAAGGCGTGACATATGTATTGCTTTTCCTGTGTGGTTGTTGGCGACAACAATTGTTGAGTTTTCTTCTCAAGTTTGATAGTTTGACAGGAACTATTTGTGATAAATCAATGATATTTTCTATAAAGTTGCATTACTATCATTACATATCAGTTTGACAACTATTTTGAGGCCCTGCACCCTAGGTCATGGTCCAGTGACTTTGAATTAATTAGCATTTTTCAATGTTAAGTTTTCTGTTTAAATTGGTTTGATAGGAAGTACATGTGATAGATCAATTATATTTTCTATAAAGTTGCATTACTATCAGTACATATCAGTTTGACGACTATTTCGAGGCCTGCACCCTAGGCCATGGTCCAGTGACTTTGAATTAATTAGCATTTTTCAATGTTAAGTTTTCTGTTTAAATCAGTTTGATTGGAAGTACTTGTGATAGATCAATTATATTTTTCTATAAAGTTGCATTACTATCAGGACATATCAGTTTGAAGACTATTTCAAGGCCCTGCCCCCATAGGTTATAGTTCAGTGACTTTCAATTAATTACCCAATTTCAATATTAATTTTTCTACTATAAAGTTAGTTTGATAGGAGCTACTTACAATAGCCAACTATATTTTCTATAGAATTTTATTACTGTCTGTACATCTCAGTTTGACGACCATTTTGAGGCCCTGCCCACTAGTTCATGGTCCTGCAACTTTAAATTAATTAGCAATGTTGCTGTCCATCAGATTGTCTGTTTCTGAATTTTATGCCGACAGGCGAGACATATCTCTGTGTCAGCAGTTTATTATCTATTTTTCTACAATTGCAGTTTAACTAATGTACACATTGATTCATGAATGTATGCAATTTTTATTTTTAAAGCTTTATTATCATAAAAAAAATCCTCTTTTTAAATGAAATTGTGAGATATCACCTGTATACATGGTATACATACACATTTTGCATTCACAAATTATGTAACCCTTACCCTATGTGACAAACACAAAACAAATACCCTTAAAAATTAAAGTCACAAAAAGACAGATATATATATATAATATATAAATCCTTCTGTATCATTGTATTTATATGTTCTAACATATCATACATAGAAAACATGACTTTAGACACTAAAATATCAGCAGTTGTACTTAAAACATGATTAACACATCTATGTCATGAAATCTGTAGAAAGTCACATGATGTAGATAAAGAAAATAAAGGAAAAGGAAGTAGTATAACATGACACAAACATTTTGTCTTAAAACGTGATCCAAAAAATTAACAAAAATATGCTTTCCACATTTATCTATTAGTTTTACTTTTGGTAATACTGTAGATTCATTTATTTTCGTGGGTACCAATTTTCGTGGATTGAGGAAAACTTGCATTTTTCGTGGATCTTTAATTGCATGGTTTTTCTAAAGCCTGCATACATTCCTATAGAAAATTTGTAATTTGTTGAACATTTGAATTCGTGGTTCACCTTTATCCACGAAATCCATGAAAATTGGTATCCAACGAATAATAATGAATCCACAGTACATTATTTATCATTACAGGAACACGTCTATATCAATGTGGGTGGAGATAACCCCAACAAGAGAATTGATCAAAATGCCTCACAATATAACATTCCTTTATGCTTCATTGAATGGTAGTATGGTTGGTTTGAGGGGTAAGTTACTTAGAGATTAAAAATAACATTGAAAGCTTGGTATGTTACACAGATCAATAGATATAAAAAGATGTGGTATGAGTGCCAATGAGACAACTCTCCATCCAAGTCACAATTTATAAAAGTAAACCATTATAGGTCAAAGCACGTTCTTCAACACGGAGCCTTGGCTCACACCACACAGCAAGCTATAAAGGGCCCCAAAATTACTAGTGTAAAACCATTCAAATGGGAAAACCAACGGTCTAATCTATATAAAATACGAGAAACACTTATGAACCACATCAACAAACGACAACTACTGAACATCAGATTCCTGACTTAGGACAGGTGCAAACAATTGCAGCAGGTTTAAATGTTTTAATGGTACCAAACCTTCACCCTTATCTGAAACAATAGTAAAATATCAATTACATGTTTCACCACATTCCCCCCCCCCCAAAAAAAAAAATTACATTTATCGATTATTATGTAACACATGTTTCTCTGCCTATTCTCAAATTTAGATTTAATGTGCTTCAATAAGGACTATTCTAATAGAATTAATGTGATCAAGGTTAGAAATGGAATTTTATTTTTGGACATTCATTTGACATTGGTTGCGAGTCAGTTAAGAATTTATGTCAATTTGATGTATTAAAATTATTCCAAAAAAGTTTGTTAGTTGTGCAAACAACTTCAATTGTCGGATAATACCTGTAGAACAATAATTAAATATTCTCTGTTGATCTGTCAATGAACTTTTAATGGTACATATATTTTCAAACATAGTGTTTTTTATAATGCAGAGTAAGTAAACAGTTGTAAAACTGGTGGCTTGATAGTCCAAGGTCAGTAAAAAATTGGGAGATCTCGTTGTCAAACAGACTATTCATAGTTGATCTTTCAGTGTGGATCTTTGCGATAAAGAGCATGTTATAAAATGTTATAAAGGAGTCTTTGTACATTAGTGGGTAGTTGTCCCAATGTACATGATGTAGTGTTGAAAATCTACATTTTATGTATGTCAAATAAAAAATGAAAATTCATTTGAGCCTTTATTGTACAAAGTATAAGACTCTCCAAAAGTTCAAAAGTAATGGGGGATCAATCAATGACTAGCAAAATTTTAACCCCCACCCCCCAAAAAAAAAATTAGGCACATTCCAAAAGAATTTACAGTCCATGAAAGAAGATCCTGAATTTTTTTTTAATTTTTTTACAATGAGATGTTTAATTTCATTGACAATATTTTTTGTTTCAGATCATAAAATAGAAGACACGATGAATTTGACATTATATCTGCCGATTGCTTGGAATCAAATCAGTTGTTTGAAGACAGGAAGGTGTTCAACTGTCAAAGTACTGGCTTGTGTCAACTTCCAGGCTCCTGCCTATTTCTTCCCAAGTGTCAGGTATGTATAATGTATACCAGGTGCAAGGTAAAGCCTGAAATAAAGGGAAGCTGCACCCTTCTCTGACATTAGTGCCCTATGCATTTTTGTTTTCTGAAGGAAAAAAAATTTCTTTGCTAATGAATTATTTTATATGTTGTAAAACCCCTAAATACTATATACTGTAGATTCAGAAATTTGTGCATGCATTATTATGATCATGACCATACCCTCTCTCCATGCTCTCTAGCATTGGAGGTAATATTGCATTCACCTTGTCCCTCTGTTCATCTGTTTGTCCATTAGTCTGTTCGTCTAATCAATATTTTGCCACATTTTTCTCAACTTCTACAAAACAGATTGACTTCATATTCGGTAAGCAGCTTGTAAGTGACAAGTATGTGTGAGCACCTCTCAGATCTGTCAGACACCTACTTTTTCAATATGTTGAATGAACTTAAGAATTTTTTATAAACCTTTCTCAAGTACAACAAAACAGAATGACTTCATATTTTGTCAGCAGCTTGTCAGTGTCTAAGTGATGTGTTGTTACGTGTGATCCCTTTTAGGTTCTTTAATAAACATACTTCTTGTTTACATGGGGGGGGTTATGCTTAGCACAACAATGTGTGCTATCTTATTGTGATTGTTGAATACATTTTTTCAATTTCAGGAAACACAGCATACAAATAATGCTATCCAAATTGAAATGGGAGTTCTTGGTTTTGCAAAACCTATCACATGGAAATAATAAAAACTTTGCAAAAATTTATGAATTTATTATAAATCAAGAAAAATACACTTATTTATTTGATTATTTAAAAATCTTAATCAAGTAACATGATAAAGTCTTTCAAACAGAGCAAGAAACTATTCACCTTTAAACTGCGCCACTCTGTCCCCAATCTTAGCTAGAACACTTTTAACAGGTGAGAGGTATATGTTCAATATGTTTGAAAGAGTTTGTTATGGCAAGTGTTTGTTAAAACTCCTGTTGTAGGTTATTTTGTTTGTAATAAAGACTTGAGAACAAGTCAATAGTTAAATGACGATGGGCAGAAATAGGGGAACTTAAAAGAGGGTCGAAAGATACCAGAGGGACAGTCAAACTCATAGATCGAAAACAAACTGACAACGCCATGGCCAAAAATAAAAAGACAAACAGACAAATAATAGTACAGATGACACAACATAGAAAACCAAAGACTAAGCAACACGAACCCCACCAAAAACTGGGGTGATCTCAGGTGCTCCGGAAGGGTAAGCAGATCCTGCTCCACATGTGGCACCTGTCGTGTTGCTTAAATACTGACTATAGAAATGTACAAGAAGCCTCATTTTTAGCACACAGATCTAGGACTTGTAAGCTATTGGCATATGTTGTCCATGAATAAACAGATATTTAGTAAAAAGCATTTTCTGATTAAATCATACTTTTTGTGGAGTAATAGAGATCTTTTTGGTTGAAATTAGGGAGGAACAGAGCTCCAGATAAGCTGCGTATTTGCGTGATCACGCAATACAAATAATTAAAAACCCAATGCAATTGCCCATTGCAGGGTTCAAAAACCCAATTAATTCAAAGGAAAACCCAATTATATGCCAAAACCATGAGTTCTTAACGCTTTTATTCGCTATCGTTTGCGTTATTTACCCTTATCTGATTACAGTCGTCGCGTAAATCTATTTTTATAATGTTTATAATTGGAAATGTCCTTTCGTTCTTAAAATAGAGCCCTGCATCAAGTAGCTGTAATGGGTCCCTGTTGGAATTTTCCGTTGCTCAAAAGGTACACGTGTTTATGAAAACATTTCGATCTTCTCAGCGGTTATCCAGTTAGCGTGTGACATGCTGTCATATTTTTTCGAATTGCTCGGGATTTATCATAACATACAATGAATTAAAACGAAAGTAAATGTCCGATAAAAATATTGAATAGAAGCATGTTTTCGGCTTCTTTTTGATAGCTGAGGGTAAGTTATGATGATAACAAGACTCAGCTAGTGATTTTAGGAAGCGTCCATTGAACGCACGGGCGTGTTTGCGTACCTTGACGAGAACATTGCTATAGAACGATAAACATGGGGTTTCGTCAAAAACGAAATCAGTTGGAAAAAGTGAAAGGCCAAATCAATTATGACATGATATGTAGTTGGAAAGCATCGGAAACCAAAAGTTCTGATATGGGACAACTTAACCCAGATTTATGTAAATTGAATTAAACAAAAACAGTTTATATATTATTTTTTTCATTTTAGTTGATGAATGAATACACATATCCGTTTTTTACATCAAATTATGCAGCTTGACACTTTCTTTGTTTTGGTCTAATTGTTCTGGATGCTTAAGATAGTTGTCTTATTGGCAAGTGCAGTATAACATTGTCATTTATTTACTTGATGTTGCAGAATTATTTGTAGATTGAAGTTGAATGTGGTCTCCATCATTAAACCACCCTATAAATCTCAAGGTTTTGGGGTATATCTTAAATCTGGGAACTACTTTTTATTTTTATTAAAAAGTAGATCTGGCAAATAGGTGAAAGGACTGGCAAAACTTTCTTACAGCACCTAAATTTCACATATATTACATAAAAATCTAAACACTTAGCCATACCTACCCCAACTATAAACTGTAGGGTGATCATATGGGATCTAGAAAGGCAATTAGTTACTGTCCAACTAGTGACACCAGCTGCAGTTTACATAAGTTTTGAGAAAATACAAAACTGACAGAACGTTTAAAACGGGACACAAATTAAACGTACAATTGCTCGTCAGTGAATAAACCAAATAAAACAGCTAAGCACATATACAAAGAAAGAAACACATTTAAGATGGAAACACATCTGGGGTTGATATAATGTGATTATAACATGCCTAAATATTCAATATTGTGTTGATGAAAAAACCCAATACATTAAGGAGCTTGGTGGTGAAAAACCCAATTTGATATTTGCTTGAGGGGTGAATTGGAATTGATAATGCAATTAAAAAACTTTATCACCCAATTACATAAAAAAATGGTGGGTAAAAACCCCAATTTGTGAATTCTTATCTGGAGCTCTGGAAGAAGAAGGAATCAGGCTTTATATGAGGTGCTCATTGTGTGGCTGATTATTATTATTATAATGTAATATTACCATTTCAAAACATTTTCTTTTAAGGCAACCTGGAGTTTGTTATGGTATGAATGAATCAGGAGCCGAATACCATAGTAAGATGGTGGCCATTCATAAAAGTAGTCAGGCAGGTGGAAAAAAGGTGTGTCCTGGAAGTCCACACCTACTTATCAAACATTCCAGAGATCCAAACATCAACATGATGTTAACTCTTGTAAGTATATTGATCAACTGATAAGAAACAGGTACTGATGAGCACCCAAAGTTTATTGATGCCTATTGATTTTAATTTATCATTAATACTTTTGGTTACTCAGATATACAGATTTTCAGGAAATCTTATACTTCAGTTACAAATTTCATGAAATTGTGGATAATAGTTTTCTGCTTCACGAAAAATCCTGATCAGGAATGTGCAGTATGTCAGGAACGAAAAACAGGAAATGGTTTTATAGTCGCTATGTTTTTAGCTCACCTGGCCCAAAGCGCCAAGTGAGCTTTTCTCATCACTTGGCATCTGTTGTCCGTCGTCATTAGTTTTTTACAAAAATCTTCTCCTCTGAAACCACAGGGCCAAATTTAATCAAACATGGCCACAATCATCATTAGGGTATTTAGTTTAAAAAATGTGTCCCCGCCAACCAACCAAGATGGCCGCCATGGCTAAAAATAGAACATAGGGGTAAAATGAAGATTTTGGCTTATATCTCTGAAACCAAAGCATTTAGAGTAAATATGACATCGTTTAAAACTGATTATCAGGTCAAGATTTATTTGCCCTGAAACTCTCAGACAAATCTGACAACCTGTTGTTGGGTTGCTGTCCCTGAATTGGTAATTTTAAGGAAATTTTCCTTATTTTGGTTATTATCTTGAATATTATTATAGATTGGGATAAACTGTAAACAGCAATAATGTTCAGCAAAGTAAGATCTACAAATAAGTCGTCATGACCAAAATTGTCAGTCGACCCCTTTAGGAGTTATTGCCCTTTATAGTCAATTTTTAACAATTTTTCATAAATTTTTGTAATCTTTTACAAAAATCTTCTTCTCTGAAACTACTGAGACAAATTTAACCATACTTGGCCATAATCATTATTAGGGTATCTAGTTTAAAAAATTTGTCCGATGACCCCGCCTTCCAACCATCATGGCCTACATGGTTAAAAATAGAACATAGGGGTAAAATGCAGTTTTTGGTTTATATCTCTGAAACTAAAGCATTTAGAGCAAATCTGACAGGTGGCAAAAAGGTTCATCAGATTTCGATTTATCTGCCCTGAAATTTTCAGACGAAACCGACAACCCGTTGTTGGGTTGCTGCCCCTGAGTTAGTAATTTTACAGAAATTTTAGTTTTTTGTTATCTTAGATATCATTATGATATCTAATATCTAATACTATTAATTATGATTTTAACCTTATTTTACATGATTTCCAAAGCATCAGTAAATACAGGTGAGCGACTCAGGCTCTTGAGAGCCTCTAGTTATGTAGTATATTAGTGGTGTGACTTAAATAGACCTTCATACCATTTATTCTATCTTCGAAAGTATATATCAAACATTCAAGAGGTCAAAACATCAACATGATGTTAACTCTTGTAGTATTTTTGATTAGATTTACTATCAAAAACCTTTTATCATGTGGAGCCAGCTGTTTTCTTGGATTATATGCAGCATTAAAGCTCCTATCATACTTCCTCTATTTGATTTTTATATTCTGTAATAACCTTCATTTGATTATATTATCTTGTTTACAGGAAGACAGATCTGTAATTAACCTCCATTTGATGCACACGAGTTACTTCCTGGTTGTGATGTTCATTACATTGTTTTGTTACGCTTTAATCCGAGGAAAACCATCAAAACCAAAATCACACCCATACACAGAGGTATGTACATAATTCTTATGCTGTATGATATGTTACTCCTGATTGGATGATATCTGTCATCAATTCCCTGATTTTTAGTAAATTATTAAGCCGTGTATGAACTTTGTACGGATCTGTATGGTTACATATATCTGTTTAGCATTAAATGGTCTTTGATAACTTTCAAACCTATTACATGTTTTAGAAAGGCAAGACTTAGACGTGCTGTTTTAACCATCAGCAGTGTCAAAAGAAGTACTAATTATTAGGCAATGATATTTTGTATGCAGTTGTATTAGCATTAGCACATCTCATTTCCATCATGGTTATTGGGCCTGCCTCCTTAGTTCTGTTCTACAGATTTTGAAATTTATGCATTGTTAACATAAGTTCATGAATAGATCAGTTTATGGGGAACCACTGATGATAAATCTATGATATTTTGTATGCAGTTGTATAAGCATTAGCACATCTCCTTTATATTGTGATTATTTGTTGGCCCTTTACCTTTAGTCATGGTTCATTGACTTTGAAAGTTTTGCATTCTGTAAATTCAGAAATTATTGCGTGCATTTATTATTGCGATTTTTGAAAAATTAACAAAAATCCGAATTGAACTGTTGCAAATTTAGGAAAAGCTACATACAGATATATGTATTTGATATCAGAATGCGAGTTCTTATTATTGCGACACTCAAGTAGTCCCGTTATTCGCATTAATAAAAACCTCGCAATAATTTCTGAATTTACAGTAGTTTACATGTACAAGTGTTGTTATTTTAGTTTCAACATTTGCATTGTACCTTCAAACTATATACAGGTTGCCATTTTCTTTTTTGTTGGCCAGGGGAAAGGGAGGGTGTTTTACAAATGTTGCATAATTATTCAGGTAACCTATACACTGCCTTCATTTTTTGTCAGATTGGATATTAAGTAATGTAAAATAGATCAAATTTTAGTTCTTTTTTGTGACTGAGTTCCTCTGGTTGACCTGAGGTCTGTCGGCATATATGATATCATTGAACCATCAACTGTGACATAATAACATAAGCATTGTGACATCAAAAAATATTAACATCAGCATTGTCACATCAAAATTCAAAAATGTACTGGCAATTGATTTGTAGACAATGAAACAATAAATTGAAAAGTAAAGCTTTGATTAATAGTGTTTGAATTGATACATACTCATAACAGTGTTCTCCTTTTTTATACGCCCGTTTACGGGACGTATTATGGTATACCGTTGTCCGTCCATAGTCAACATGTCGGACATTAACTTAAAAAAGCTTTAACCAATATGCATGAAACTTTGGTGAATTGTTTATATCTATTGACATGAGCTCCCTTTTGTTTTTTATAAATTTCAGATTTACCGTTTCCGAGTTTTGGGGTTTTATTCATTAAAAAAGGGGGGATTTTCCAGTTTTCCGACAATAACTCAAGAATGCTTTCACCAACTTGCAAAGAATTTTGGTGAATTGTTAATATCTATTGACATGAGCTCCCTTTTGAGTTTTATAAATTTTAGATTTTACGTTTCCGAGTTACAGGGTCTTATTCATAAAAAAAGGGGGATTTTCCAGTTTTCGGACAATAACTAAAAAATTCTTTCAGCAGTTCTCATGAAACTTTGGTGAATTGTTTATATCTGTTGATGTAAACTTCTTTTAGAATTTTATAAATTTTAGATTTTACATTTCTTGAGTTATGGGGTTTTATTCATTAAAAAAGGGGGAATTTTCCAGTTTTTGGACAATAACTCAAAAATGCTTTCAGCAGTTCTCATGAAACTTTGGTGAATTATTTATAGCTATTGATGTAATCTCCTTATTGATTTTCATAAATTTCAAATATGACATTGAGAAGAAATTGAACTTTATTTGTTTATAGTCTGACAATAGATTTACTAAGTATTGCACAACAGCAAGAAATCTTTAATTGAATTTATATCCAATTTCAAGAACTTTGACCACATTTATTCAGAAACCTATAATATGTCAAATATTTAATTACAATCCAAATTCAGACCTGTATCAAGCTTGAATATTGTGTCCATTTTTGCCCCAACTGTTCAGGGTTGGACCTCTGCGGGCGTATCCAGCTGCGCTCAGCGAAGCAGTTTATTCACTAAGGTAAGGTGGGTGTTTTGAAAAAAACACTTGCAACCGGGTGTTCTGTTTTTTTTAAACATTTCCAACCGGGTTTATTTTTTTACTGTGGGTGGGGGTCACAAAAAGAAGGATTAGTATTGTATTCACATTTAATGGAATTGAACAAAAATAAATAGATGTAGTCACATAAACTGTCAAATATTCTTCTATGATTTGATTTTTTTCAATAATGAATCCCTTTTTTCTCTTAGCATCTCGGATAGCAGATGGCTTTTGCAGGACTCCCTCCTCCTGCGAATGCATGGCCTATCGATCCATGTTTCTGTTCTGTTCCTCGCTTTAGTGCTGTATTTTTGGCACACAGAACAGTAATATCCTTTCTCTGTGACGATTAGCCATTTAAAGTCCTGTTCATATTTATCTTCGCTTGTGTGCCTTTTCCCTTTGTTATGATGCTTTTTTTTTTCAATTTCAACAATTTCAATACAACTATCCATTTTAGTTGACTTATTTGGCCTAGAATTTTCCTTATCACCATTGCATCTGCCTTTCTCTTCCCCCGATTAATAAAAGAAAACATTGAAATTTGACGATCAGACATTTTTGTCAATGAAAATAAATCAGCAAGGCGCGATTAGTATTTAAGTTTGTACAGTACGGAACCAAAAAAAATCTGGAATTTGAAAAAAAAGCCGACCACCTCCTAAAATGGAAAGGTGGTCGGCACACCCAGCTTAAATGCCGAATGGAAAACTCTGCTCATAAATTTATAATTCTAATAAGAATTTATGCATAACACTACAAAGGCGAACTAAATAGCCAGTGCTTTTATGGCATTTCATGGGTTTGATTGGTACTTTATAGTTTTCTATGCTGAAAGAATTTTGAATAACTATTACAACATCAAGGATATTTCTTCCAAGCTAGGCAATCAGAGTAGACTATGTGGGTTGACACAGGTTTCAGGGTTTGCTGCATTCCAAGATTCTATTCCAGAGAAATAAATTCTTTTTTTTCATTGATGCCAATGTTATGAATATTCTTTATATTTTTCAGGTTCAGACTTCAGTATAGTATACATAGTACAACAAAGGATCAAAAATTGTACTATTCTATGACAGCAATCTGATCAGCTGTTGAAGATATCAAACAGAAATGTTCATCAAAAAGAAATCCAATTAAAGCAGTAGTTCACATGAAACTGTAAACAGTTGAAGCTGTTTTTATTTAAATGCTTTGAAACATACTTCAATCTGCTTAATAATTCAGTTTGTCATGAAGTTAGAAACTTTTATGCTCATTAATTTCAAGAATCTTTGACAGACAGGAAAAACAGGTTGAATAACTGAATTAATAGAAAAAGCAAATTAATGTTTATGAATAATTTGGTGTGTGGACTATTAATAAAGAAATTTAGCAGATGAAGCCATAAATTTGGGATTTTTTTTTTTTTTTAAACATGAATCATAAATTTTGAAAATGACAATCAAATTCAGTCAGCAGATATAAAAATCCAGGTTTTATAAATTTGGATAATAAGTACATTTTGTTTTGGTTTTTCTGTGCATATGCCTTTTCACTGGCACTGTTTTCATAAAATTTATGTCCATGTAAAATGTAATGAAGAAAACAAGTTTACACAAAATGCACAGCTAAGAGATATGATAAGAATACTACTTATTTAGTGGCTTCTTCCTAAAATCAAACAAACTGGAAAAAAGTTGTAACTTCTTTTAAATATAAAGATAAAATGCCAATGGTAGAAAAAAAGGCTACAGGATCTCATTTATTGCAATTAACGTTTATTTTTTTCAGCAAATGTTTCAAATAGAAAAAAGTTGTGTTTGAAATAATGATAAATGTATGTATGGTTAATATATATATATAGAATTTTACCAAAGTTTTCTCATACTCATTTCTTTATTTATTGTATTGATTTACACATTATACATATATATACATAATTTCAACTATAAACATATTTGGTTGTGTACATATTTCATTATATCAGTCAGTAATATGGTATTTGTCAATTTTTTTTTGTAGTTTGTAGTCATCATAGCAATTTAAGGATGTTTGCTACTCTGTTTCAAAATAACAAGCTTTTTAAAAGACTCTTATAAATTGATAGTATATAAATAAAGGAACTAAAAAAGCAGACAAAAATTAAGGGTCCGTGTGCTTGTTTTCGAGATATAAGCCATTGAAAATTTGGCGGGAAATAATTCTCTCTAGACTTTTCATACATTTAACATTGGCACCCTTTTTCTTTAAAAAATTATGAAAAAATAACAAGGATTTTATAGCATTTTTAAATATGGCTATTTAAACTATATGTAATAAAATTATGAAAAGAAAATTAGGGGTTAGCGGGCAAAATTTTTATTGGCACATACATGGATAAAACTAGAGGATTCCGAATATCTGACAAAAAGTCAAAAACAAGAGTAGCGAACATCCTTAAGAGGGTTCTGTAATCTTTATTTAGAAGTACATTCTATACATATTATTTTGTAATAATAGAGATTTTGAGAGTTTGTGAATACATGACAATCATACCTATTTTGTCATCAGAATTAGTTAATTATTTCAATCAGATTGTAAATTTACTAAACATAGCTAACTAGATTTAAGAGCTTATTAATAGAAGCAATGGTCTTATTAAATGATATTGGATTTAAAACTATGTATAAGTTGGTACCCAGCTTTTCTTTGAAAAAAAAATGTGGCAAAACTCTTGTTGAAGAAGGGATTACTGAGTTAAAACTTTAGTAAATGATCTTCTCAACAATGAAAAATATATATATATATATCATTTCAGTTACAGCAGCTATTTTTCAAAAAATCTTACTAGTAAAAATAAACATTTCAGTATATTAAAGTTACTATCAATTTTAATCATAATAAGATTTCTGGAAAAAGAGTTGCATAATGTTATTATTTAGGTCCTTTCAGATTTGTTTGTTGTGATATTGTCTGAGTAAATTGAAAATAAAACATTATTCCTTCATATGTTTCAGTGTTAGAAAATCCATAACGTAATTTCATATTTTTTTTTTTAATAATCAGAACTGGGTTAGATTCGTTTCTAATATCTGATGAACTTTTTCTATGAATAGTATGTGGTAAATATAAGAAAAATGATAGTAAGTGCTCTTTGATGTGGTTATACAATAATTTAGATTAATAAAACTAACTGTACCAATTTTACTTCCCTAGATGCACATTTAAAAAATGTTATTTTTTACAGAAAAAACCTAATTCAACAAAAAATTGAAAATTAAAATTGAATCGTTTGATTCCAGAAAAGTGCCCAGTAGCATAAAAAGCACAGATATCTGCATTCAAAAATTTTGTGTGAATGATGTTAAAAAATGCATTATTTTCCTCAAGGCTATCAAATCGTTGTTTTCATATGTAAAATATTTCATGATATTGGATGCACTAAAGAATGGAAGAAAAAATACTCAATATATATGGTGTTCATATTTAGTAGGTTATTATTCAACAGAAATATTATTGGAGTTTGATTGATATCAATATAATGCTTAACATGAAGTAAAGGTATTTTGCTATATTTTGAAATTTTACAAAAGAACATTATGCATGTAGAACTGTTGGCTGTTCCACAGAAAAGTACATGGGACCCAGGGAAGGCACTTCAAAATTTCAACTATGGGTGGGTGTCATCTATGTTTTTGCATAGTGGAAATGTAAGTGAAATTTTAATTTGCCTCTATAGATGGTTACCCCATTTTTAAAGTGCCTTCCCTGGATACCATGTATGTTTTAATGGAACACGATTATATCTGATTTTTTTTTAAAACCAAATTTTAGATGTAGTATTTATACATCCAGAGGACAATCAATTGAAATTAGTGTAATAAATAATAGAATGAAAAGACTGCTTGATAAAAAAGAGTTCTTAAAAGCAAAATATCGACTTTCCCCTATCCAATAATTTTAGAAATATCATGTTATTGCTATGAATCTTTTTCGTTTAATTTATGCTATTTGTATCATATTTACAATTTCCAGTTGCAGTTCAACAAGTTCTAAATGATTAAAAACATTTATTAGAATTTCAAATTACTGCCAAATTATATGTACTTGACCTATTGGTGAGGACAAGTATGTAAATATTAAAATTGAATGGTTTATAGTGAGAAATTGTGCTTGAAAGGGATTTATTTTTGATGTCTTGTAACTTTCATTAAACCATCAGAATCATTTTTTAAATGCCCATAGTTTTGATCGGTAATGATTTTAACTTCATTTATATGTATGTTAACAAACAGTTTTGTGCATAATTTAGGGCTTTTCCATTAAAATGTATGTGGGAGGGTAGGAAGGGAAGTTTAATTATTGAATGTGGGTCATGGGTCTTTTTTCAGTATGCGTCTATCCATTATGCAAAATTATCTAAAAAATGGTTCTTGGTTGTAGGGATATTTTGAAAGTCCCTTCCTACCCTCCCACATACATTTTAATGGAATAGCCCTTAATGAAATGTTATCTTAAGACAATTTATATGTTAGAAAAGGGCATTTCCTTTGTCATTGGTCATAGTCATGCTTTGTTAACATATTTATTAAAAGTACTGATATTTATAGCATACATATTATAGTATTTTATTATCATTGCATATGTGGTCTATAGAATATTCCCATGGCCATGATTTTCTTTAAATTGAAATGAGCCTCTATATGAAAATTTAACTTTGGATCAAGTTTGTAGAATTATGTTATAGATACTTAACCAAGGACCAATAAAGTAAATTTTCTACTCACACAAATAGTGCTGTAATACATAACAAAAGAATAACAGGAACTACAAAAAATATAGGACCAGTTTTACATGCACACAAACTGCCACTTTTGCCTAGACTATATGTTGGAGTAGTTAAACTCATTATAAAATATTTGCATGTAGGACTAATTTCTCTTCTTGTTGTATATATTCTAATTTGTAAAAAGGGATTCCTGTGGATGTATATGCTAAAATAATCCTATGAAATTTATTAAAGAAAACATTTAATATATCAAAAGAAGAGATTTTTTATTGCTGCATGTTTTTCATTTTTAAAGTATAAAAGGTTCAAGAGACGATGTAGCTTTGACTTAATGATGTTAAATTTTCTTCAGCTGTGCATTGAAAAATCTCCCAAACAACCATAGTTTGTCAAATTATAAAAAAAAAACTGATACATCTCTTGGAAAGTACTTTGAAATTTTTGTCATTTATGATATATATATTTTGTATAGCTAAAATATTCATTTGTTCCCAAATATTTGAAGAAAAATATAAAGACAATCAGCATAAAAATTATAATATTTAGTATGAAATATTTAGACAGATGCTTGTATCTTATGAACATTGCACTTAATTTGTCTATAATTTTGATGTATGATGCATTAACTTTTGAAAAAATATAATTTCTGAAAATGTTAAAAGCAAAAATAAAATATGAAAAGTAAACTTTGTTTGAAGCTTATTTCTGTTGTGTATGGAAATATGAATAGTACATTTATTCTTTGATCTTGATATCCTTTATAACTGGACACAGACTGTATGTGCTGTAAATGTTGTTTTATTGCAAGATGTTTATTTTTGATAATTTAACATCAGATGCTTGTATCTTGAACTTTGCACTTAATTTGTCTATAAATTTGATGAATGATGCATTTTAACTTTTGGGAAAAAAATGTAATTTTTGAAAATGTTTTCATATTGAATTTCAAAAGCAAACATTTTTTTTCTATGAAAAATAAACCTTAATTTGTTTGAAGCTTATTTCTGTTGTTTATGGAAATATGAACATTACATTTATTCTTTGATCTTGATATCCTTCGTAACTGGACACAGACTATGTATGTGCTGTAAGTGTTGTTATATTGCAAGAGGTTTATTTTTGATAATTTGTTAGATAAATTAGTTTATTTTATTTTTATATTTGTTATGGTTTATTGTGTATAGGTTATTTTGCACGAGGGGAAAATATATTGTATTTATTTTATAAAATTAAGGGTTGTTCTGATATAGCAGTTTAAATAAGTTTTGTTAAGAAACACATTTATATTATTATTAATTAAAGGATGGTGATTTTTTTAAATGGTAGCATATTCAAATAGAATATTAGACAAATATGGATAGTTGAGTTGCAGTTACTTCCCTTTTTTGCCATGTTGGAGGGCAAACTGGATTATTATGTTATTTGACTAACCAACTTTAATCATGTGATACAACTCAGTCTGATAAAAGATTCATTCTAGGTTTGAAATGATGAATTAAACAAGACTTAAACAAATAATTTTTTTTGAGGAAACCACTTTTTCTAAAGTCTAGCTGTCAGTTTGATACAATGAATTTGGTATATTTACGAAATGTTTACATGTTAGCATCAGAGGGAAATAACTGTTACCCAAACTAGTCCAATTTAAAACTACTAGATAAGAATACTTGTAGCTGATCTCACAATACAGACAAAAAATTAAGCTAGAAATACAGTAAAACCTGTACATGAAGGTCACCTATGGAACCAGAGCAAACTACTGTATAAGAGAGGTGACATTTAAATAAACAGGTTTGACTGTAGTGGTAAAATAAGGTGATTGCTATCTCCCTTATGACAATGTTTTGGAATGTTTCTAGATATTCTTGCTGTGTTGAAGACCCATTGGTGGCCTTGGGCTGTTTTTTGCTCTTTGGTCGTATTGTTGTCTCTTTGACACATTCCTCATTTCCATTCTTTATTTTATTATTGTACATTACATTAATAAAAAAAGTTGTCATATTATTTATTACATTTATGATCAAAGGCAGTATGTAAGGAATGTTCCAACCCATTTTACAAAAAGTGGTAAGATCTCCAAATAGTCATAACAATCTGTGGCTTTAAAATATTGATGAAAATAAATCCAGAAAAGCTCTTCTGAAGCATAAAATTTATAAAGTGTTTTCATTGTACAATATAAGCATTCCTTAAATAGACTTATGATGTAATCATTTTAAAGTGGACAAAATTTATAATTAAGCTCAGAATAATTCATGTTTTATATGAATAGGTTTGCTTTCAGTAGTTCATCATCATTTTTTAGCAGAGAAACATTTCAGATCCTAACAAAATATGTAATATTGTAATTTTCTAGTACATAATTTTGTTTTGAGCTTTGGAAGTATTATGATTTAACTGTGTCACCTCTGACCATTCCATTTATTCGTCATATTTGTTTTAAAGTAATTAAAAAAGTTATGACATAGTTACTAGTAAAGAAATGATACTCGTATTGTTTCATTGATACTAAATATTTCATGATTTTAAAATGTCTTTTGAGTTTGATAGATGACTGCATCATTCCATAAAATGAACAGAAGAATGATTTTGTCATGTGATATAATACAAAATTGTGACTGCCATTTCAGTTGTGTGCCTGTTTAATATCATGGTTTCATTTTCAATCATATTTGTATTATGTTAAATGTATTTTGTTCATGATTTTTGTTTATAATGTTGAAATAAAGTGCTCCAATACATTACGTCACACTTTTTATATGTTCACCCAATGTATTTATTTGGATGTGAAAAAGTCTGTCAAAAGCTGAAACAAAGATAGTGAGAATATTATGTGATAAGTTACCCACCAACAAAACATGAAAATCAATTTAAATCAAAATAAGTATATGACTCTAACTGATGAGCTACAACTGAAATTATCATACATCACTGATGAGTCTTTTGTAGACGAAACACGCTTCTGGCTTACCCAATTTTAACCCTGGTATCTATGATTAGTTTATGGTTAACTTCAAAAGACAAAACAATGTTCTGGTAATTTTCAAAGAAAAAATTGGCAAATTCACCTATCTGAATTAGTAAACAATCATGCTGACATTAACCCTATTGCAAACATGGCAGAATTAACTCTACCTATGGTTTATTTGATGAGGTTTTTCATGTTGTTTTGGGGTTTTTTTTATGAATAGGTTGCCATCATAGTCCGTTACAACATTACCTTAGAAATTAACATAAATAATCAACAAGGAATTTACAGCATGTGCATCATAACAAAAAACTCATTTTTTATACGACCGCAAAAAAAATTTTGTGGTCGTATGACGTTGGCGGCGTCGTCTTCGTCCGGCGTCGTCCGAAGACACATTGGTTTTCGCACTCTAACTTTAGTTTAAGTGAATGGATCTCTATGAAATTTTACCACAAGGTTCAATACCACAAAAGGAAGGATGGAATTGATTTTGGGGGTTATGGTACCAACAGTAAAGGAATTACGGGCCAAAAATAAGCATTTTTGTAACTTTCAGACATAACTTGTGTGTTAGTGTATGCATCTCTCTGACATTGTACCACAAGGTTCCATATCACAAAAGGAATGCTGGGATTGATTTTGGGGGTAATTGCCTCAAAATTTTAGGAATAAGGGGCCAAAAAGGGGCAAAAAACAAGCATTTTTCTAGTTTCATGACAATAACTTGTGTGTAAGTGTATGGATCTTTCTGAAATTGTACTACAAGGTTCCATATCATAAAGGGAAAGCTGGAATTGAGTTTGGGGGTAATTGCCGAGTCATATAGGAATTGGGGGCCAAAAAGGGGCCAAAAGTAAGAATTTTTCTAGTTTCCAGACAATAACTTGTGTTCAAGTGTATGGATCTCTCTGAAATTGTACTGCAAGGTACCATACCACAAAGGGAAGGCTGGGATTGATGATGGGGGTAATTGCCTCAATATTTTAGGAATTAGGGGCCAAAAAGGGGCAAAAAACAAGCATTTTTCTAGTTTCAGGACAATAACTTGTGTGTAAGTGTATGGATCTCTCTGAAATTGTACTGCAAGGTACCATACCACAAAGGGAAGGCTGGGATTGATGATGGGGGTAATTGCCTCAATATTTTAGGAATTTGGGGCCAAAAAGGGGCCAAAAAACACATTTTTCTAGTTTCCAGACAATAACTTGTGTTCAAGTGTATGGATCTCTCTGAAATTGTACTGCAAGGTACCATACCACAAAGGGAAGGCTGGGATTGAGTTTGGGGGTGATGAATCATAAGGGGGTTTCAAAAAATTTGGGGGGGGATTTTATTTTTTTTTTTTCATTTTTTTTCTTTTTTTCATTTTTTTTTCTTTTAAAATTTTCCATTTTAAGTTGGTTATTTCTGATTTATATTTAAAAGCAAATAATAATGATATGGTAGGAGATACACACCAAACAGGATGTGTAAATTATTATATAATAAGTATTGTGTAATAGCAAGAAATTTTCAATTGCACAGTATTGCACAATAGCAAGAAATCTTCAATTGCACAGTATTGCGCAATAGCAAGAAATCTTCAATTGCACAGTGTTGCGCAATAGCAAGAAATATCCAATAGCACAATATTGCACAATAGCAAAAAATTGTCAATTGTACAGTATTGCGCAATAGCAAGAAATATTTAATTGCACAGTATTGTGCAAAAGAAGATACTTTGTATAAATTGCTTATTTCTTGACCAATTTCAATGGGGTTTTATTCTTGAATTCTTGGGGTTCTTTAATATGCTGAATCTAACCGTGTATTTAGTTTTTGGATTTTGGGCCCCGTTTTTAAATTGGTCCACATTGAGGTCCAAAGGGTCCAAAATTAAACTTTGTTTGATTTCATCAAAAATTGAATTATTGGGGTTCTTTGATATGCCGAATCTAACCGTGTATTTAGATTCTTAATTTTCGGTTCCGTTTTCAAATTGGTCTACATTAAGGTCCAAAGGGTCCAAAATTAAACTTAGTTTGATTTTAACAAAAATTGAATTCTTAGGGTTCTTTGATATGCTGAATCTAAACATGTATTTAGATTTTTGATTATGGGCCCAGTTTTCAAGTTGGTCCAAATCGGGGTCCAAAATTAAACTTTGTTTGATTTCAACAAAAATTGAATATTTGGGGTTCTTTGATATGCTGAATCTAACCATGTATTTAGATTTTTGATTTTTGGGCCCCGTTATCAACTTTGTCCACATTGAGGTCAAAAGGGTCCAAAATTAAACTTTGATTTCATCAAAAATTGAATTCTTGGGGTTCTTTGATATGCTGAATCTAACCATGTATTTAGATTTTGGATATTGGACCATAATAGGTGAATGTCCAATTTAAAATTTTTAAGTTCTTAGACCACATTCATTCTGTGTCAGAAACCTATGCTGTGTCAAATATTTAATCACAACCCAAATGCAAAGCTGTATCAAGCTTGAATATTGTGTCCATACTTGCCCCAACTGTTCAGGGTTTGACCTCTGCGGTCGTATCAAGCTGCGCCCTGCGTAGCATTTTATTCAATATGCAACAACCAACAATTGAAACAGAATTAATAGCAAAGAGACAAATAAATACTTTCTCTGAATGCAATGCAATACAATAATGCTCATTTGCCCCAGTCTAAGAAATATGCATTAAATATGTAAATTACAATATATTATTATGAAAATAGACAATGCACAATTTGATGATGTTGAACAATTATGGCCCCACATTGAAGAAAATGCTCTACAGGATCCCATTCAAAAACAATTTTGCAACGTTTTCACCATAGCAGGTGTAACTGTAGGCACCAGCTTTATAATAACACTTAAACACACAAGAATCAAAGGACAATTGAAGTCAAAGATAGTCAAATAATACATATCACTTTAAGGTAAAGGAAATTTTACACAGGCTCAATATCACAAGACAATGGGAAAGAAAATTCTCGAAATTTTGCACAAATGAAGATGCTATTTGTAATCAGTATTTGTTTTATTGTTTCCTATGCATACAAGTATGTTGCTCAGTAGTAATAGTGTGATATTTTATTTGATACAATAACGCCATGCTTAGAGATTGTTGTACATTGAAAAAACTAAAAAAGAAAATGACATTAGAATGTTTTATTCATTCACACAGTCCTTTGATATATTACAAAATGGTTGTATGCAGCATTTAAACCAGATTCAATTGCAGCTTGTATTAACCCGGAATTATCCCTGTAACGTACATGTTTGCATTGAAAATACTAGCAGTGTCTTAAGGTCAATAGTTTATTTTAGCCGACTGCCTAACAGCACAGTAAATATTGGATAGTTTATGTAATATACAATAAGACAGTGAATAGACCAATATATAGTTGGCTGATTAACATTCGCTACAAAAGATTTCATACTCTTTCAAAGCGAAACCAAAACTAATAACCAACTGGTAGGATCTGTCAGGTAACTTCATTCCGTATAAATTTAGATTTTATGTTTCCGAGTTAAGGGATTTTATTCATAAAAAGTCGGGATTTTCCAGTTTTTCTGATTATAGCTCAAAAATGCTTTGAACAATTTTCAAGCTTTGGTGAATTGTGTATATATACTAATATACGTTCCGTTTCAATTTTTTTTTTAAACTTTTGATTTCACGTTTTGGAGTATTGGGACTTTATTCATAAAAAGGGGGGATTTCCCGGTTTTTCGGACAATAACTCAAAAACGCTTTTAGCAGTTATCATGAAACTTTGGTGACTTGTTTATGTCTATTGAAAGAAGCTCCGTTTTGTTTTTCATAAATTTCTGATATGACATTGCGGAGTTATGGTACTTTATTAGTTGAAAAATTGGCGAAAACTGTCCAGTTGGTGACGTGCGTATCATGCACTCATGGCACAGCTCTTTATTTTAATGAGCTTTTATACGGAATTTATCAAAAGCTGTAAGTAAAAACATACTGAGGGATGATATAAGACAAAGAAGTATGAAACATGATTAATGGATAGATGAATATTTCATACAGAAAGGTAAAAACCTCACCCACTGAAAACCGACGATGAACAAACTGGCTTCGGAAGTGTAAGCTGTAACAATAACTATAACAAAAAAGTATAACAATAACTATTATCTGAAATAAGATATAGAATAGCGGGTTGGCAGTTGTCCCTTAATTAGCCCTAATATATTACAATTTTTTTAATGCCTGAATGGTCGGTTGGGAACTAAAACTTTATGACGAAAGAGATAACACAAACATGGTTGTGAGCCTATTTACTAGACGTTCTTCCAGAAAAAAGCGCCTTGCACATTCAAATCGATAGGCATGTTTTTTAACTGCTCGCTTGACTGGTTAATACTCGGAGAGAATCATATTCAAACGATTTTTCAGCATCGTTCACTGATGTCTCCTACAGTTACGTAACCAACTAAATGGTCGTAACAAACTAAATGGTTCGTCTTTATAACTTGAAATGCTTGTTTTACTGGTTAAAACGTGGGAACATAAATGGGCTATAAAACTCGTTTAACCCCGCCATATTTTATATGTGTCTGTCCGTAGTCAGGAACTTGTAATGCAGTGGTTGTTGTTGGTTGATGTCTTTCATATTATCTGTTCGTTTATTGTTCTGTCACAAATCAGGCTGTCGGATTTTTGTATGAACTGATTCACATTTTGTCATGTCGGGGCCTTTTAAGGGTATGGGGTTTGCTCATTGATGAAGGCCGTACGGTAACATATAGTTAAATCCACTTCATCT